ATCTAGCTGTACCTGGTAAGTGTTCAGCCCAGTGTATCAATAACAACCAATCTAGCTGTACCTGGTAAGTGTTCAGCCCAGTGTATCGCTATAACAACCAATCTAGCTGTACCTGGTAAGTGTTCAGCCAAGTGTATCAATATAACAACCAATCTAGCTGTACCTGGTAAGTGTTCAGCCCAGTGTATCAATAACAGTTACAGACATCCAAGGGAGATAAGTAGAATTTAAACACTGCCATTGCTCCTGACAGGCCTAAAGGTGGGGAGGGTGCCAGGAGGAAGGGTTCAGCCATGCCTAGGGGCCCAATCTCATCCCTCCCAGAACTGATAGCTGTGTGTGATGGACGGTATGAGACACTTCTTACTATGTTGGATGGCGAAATGGACAGAATGCAACTTGACCAGGTCAGTCTTTAACATCTATTGTTGTCTTGATTGTCACTGTTTTTGTATGCTTGTACAAAAAAAAAAAGTTGATGTGATCCAATATTAAGAATAAATTGTAAACCAAAATTTACACTTAAAGCTCCTTGTCACTGAAGCCAGTTGTTGTATATAGCTGTGCAGATTGAATCATGTAGTTTTATTACGACTGCAGATATTATAAGTTGTAATTGGTTTACATTTTACTTTATACTTAACGCCTGAGGTCATATACATAGAATCTGTTCATTAATTTCAACAGATAGATACAATTTTATATAGGATATTAATGGAAGTATAACAGAAAAAGACATTTGGTGTTGATCAGTATATGTCTTCCTCATAATATCCAATGATTTTACCCTGATGAATTCCTGTCTTGACCTCTACATCTGTGTCTTTTACAGATGTACACCGTGATAGGAAAGTTACCTCAGATCCAAGTGAACATTTCCATAAAGGGTTGGTGGGAAGGAGGTGAAGGACAACAGGATGTCAGAATCCATACCTCTAAAGATGGTAACAGTCATTTCTAGTGTTGAATTAATGAATTTAATGTTTTGTTTAATTGTCTCTATTTCATTTGTTTAAATTTCTAATGCTAGCTTATTTACGTACATAAGAAAAATATAAGATAAGCCATAAATATATTGTTACAATATGTTAATAACTTTTACAGATCTATATTCGTAAACTTCTTTATAAGAATGATCGATGTAGTGGAGATAGTATAATGAGGGAGTACATACAATCTGTTGTGATTGACAGGTGGGCGTCGACCAGACAGTGACTGGATAAAGGTACATGCTGACCAGGAGTATGTGATACAGGTTGCCCTTACTAGGGTTAACAAGACCAAGGTCAGTACTGTAGATCTTATGATAATGAGCTCATCCATAGGGTTATACATCAATTCTAAAACGTTATTATCATTGAGTCATATTTAAATTCTACAAACTGTAAAGATAACTGCATATAAAATGATGAAATAGACAAGACAATTTTGTACATACATTGTTAATCAAGAAGATATGTAAACTATTGATAAATTACCAAGAATATTTTTGAAGGATTACGGAGAAATGTTTCATTGTTATAATAATTTATCTATTGCTTTATTAACATTTGCTGATAAATAAATATTTTTTAATATGCAAAATGGTAACATATCAAAAAGATGGTAACATATCGAAAAGATTGAATAAGTTTTATGAGATATCATTTGTGATTTATTTTGATATGATTTGTATGATTTTGTATCCAGAAAAGCGACAGTAAGGCCCAGGCACCACGTTTTCCCAAGCCTAAAGATGAGGGTTGGTTCCTAGTGATCGGCGAGATAGAGAACAAGGAGGTCATCGCCCTGAAACGGACTGGTTTTGTTCGTGGACGCTCCCGTCTACAGATGGCGGTGTACACCCCGGAGACCACAGGGCGTGTTATCTACACACTGTACCTTATGAGTGACTCTAACCTCGGTCTGGACCAGCAGTACGATATCTGTCTGGATGTGATCCCCGCTAGTATAGAGTCTCAAGTCAACACAGAACTGGTCGGTGAGCTAAATGACTTAGCCTTTTAAGATAATGAATGAATTGTACCTCAACAAGCTACAGAACTTTCCCTCTGTGATCCTTCACACATATAGTCTCAGTGACCAGCAGCTGTACAGCATCATTCTAGTGGTGATTGCCGAAAATGTGGGCTGAATGACCAGCAACAGAACCCTTGTAACAGTGATCCTTGACCATGTAGTGTCAGGTCGACATAAGTGTTTGTTGAGCTAGACAACCTGGACTTTTATGCATGAATTGTTTTATCTTTTTATTGGAAATTCTTCTTATGAATGATTTTCCTGTTGTTGTATGATCCCTGTGACAACATGTAGTGGATAAAGGTGTTGGTTCAGTGTACTCGGCTCTAGAATCAGGATTGGTTATTTTGACAAGAAGTGCAATTCATACGAACAACAATTTGAAGCTGTTCACCCAAGTGCTGGCAATGTTATTTTGTGATGAATTTAAACATAGATGGTTTATTATAATAATGCAGGTAGGGTGGTAAAGGGTCACATATATTAACAGGCCATTTACATCAGTCACTCAGATACATCAGGTAGGGTGGTATAGGGTCACATATATATACAGGACACTCGGATACGTCAGGTAGGGTGGTATATATAGGGTCACATATATATACAGGACATTTACATCAGTCAATCGGATACATCAGGTAGGGTGGTATAGGGTCACATATATATACAGGACACTCGGATACGTCAGGTAGGGTGGTATATATAGGGTCACATATATATACAGGACTTCACATCAGTCACTCGGATACATCAGCTGTCAGAACTTGTCTTGTAGAGTGATCCATAAACCTGTATATAATACCAATACCATACTTAATGAAATGAAGTACTTGCATACAAGCCTTAATAGGTATCACTTAAGGATTCAAGTGAAGGCAAACTGGCCAGTACAGGAATGGTACTAATGGTGTAATGACAGACATACAATGGTACATTATGTTCTGATGAAAGGAAAACAAATATAGTTGCTTTATTGTACTGATAGTGGTTTGTTTAAAATATTGTTAAATTTATAGGTCATTTGGAGTTAGAGGTACAGATCAGGGCTCAACATTTCAAAAAGGGACTAGCTTAATTACTGATAACGACATTATTCAACCTCTAACATTTGGTCAATATACAAGGTAAACACTCTTAATTTTGTATGTAATTTTACTCCACTAAAAGTTTGCTGTATGGAAAACTTTAACTCAGTGAGCGTTTTTTAACATAAAAAAAAAAAAAGGAAAATTTGCGCTAATCACTGAATAAGCTTATCACCATTTGAACAACTGGGCCCAGAGTAATTAGGGACTCTAACATAGGTCAAAAATGTCATTACAATTTGATATTTTATTCTGAAATCAAATGTAACGTTACATGTACCTGAATCTAAACATTATTATTCTCATTGATTAAAAGTAAGGATCATGTTGGAATGACTAAAATACTTCAGTATATTGTTCATGTCATTAACAGAATAAAGAGGAGAATTAAATCAGCCAAACTGTTGTGAATTTATAAATTATTGAAATGGGGTTTTTTTTTTGTTAGAAATTGTGATCAGGAAATGAAATTGTTCGTAATGAAGTAAGAATATGGAGTTATTATGTACATTGTATGCGGTGTGATTGCCATTAACTGATATAGAGATGGTATATCAGTCTCTAAATTAATGTGTGTGATGTAAATATTTACATGCATGAGTTTCTTGTAATTTATCTGTTGACTTGAATTAGATATTCTTATTATTTTTACCTGCATGATTATCAAATTTGCAAACCAATTACTCTTGACTCCCTTAATATGGACAGGGTGGTCATTTTTTTCTGACATTCAAAATTGTTCTTAATTTGATAGATTTGATTATTTATTTTGATATTGAATTAAAATGGATACTGATGGTTATAATTAATGAAAACAATTCAATTTGCTCATAATTCATTAAAGCAGTATAAAGTTATTGCAAAGCTTTTACCATTTTAAAATATAAGGAAATATCCCACAGTGCTATTGGATGGACCTGAAAGATTGGTTGCTGTTGACTATAAGGTAGAAAATAACAAAAACGGGTTGAATAAATCAAAAGTTCCATTGAAATTCAGTCTTTTTACTTGGAATGTTATATTTGGAAGTTGTTTTTGATGATAAAAATACACCATTTCAGTTATTTAACAGTATTTTAACCTTCAAATGTTCCAAATGCAAATTTTGTAAGATATATATCTTTTCATATGTTGTTATGGTAATAGTTGTTGTGAACTTGAATGGTGTAAACACAGATAGATTTGAGTATATTATAAGTATGTCAATGAAAAGAGAAACATAATACCTTACAGCAGTAATAGAAACATTATCATTTAAGTTTGCTTGGTCAACAAGTATAGATGGTCTGCTACTTTTACTCTTTCACCTCATCATCATTTAAAGATGACTATCAAATTGATTGTATATAAAATGTGAATTTTGGAGATAGTATTGGAGAGTATGCTGGGTAAAGTGATGTATGTTTGTGAAGGCCATGAGTGTATGTACCTTACATGGTATTTAATAAAATCACTACCAAATTCAGGAACGTTTTTGTTTCACTTTTAATACTACAGTGTAACTACAAACAAATAATGCACAACATCATGCTGCTTACAGATGGAGTATAAGAGTCCTGGTACATGTAGTGTGAATTTTAAATACCCCATCCATTAGCTGTGATTTGAAATATGATTCTGCAGACAGAAATAGTATCTTATTCTTCAGGTAGAACGAGTCTTCTCATGGTTTTGATTCCCTTACATCTTTTAATTCGAACTAGGACATTATTTTTATTTTATTTTTTTGGAGATATAACTTTAACCATCGTTTGTATTCCAGCACAAAAATCCCAAAACCTCCCTTGAGAGACCCCTCCTAGCTTGACATGCTTGTACATAATGCAAGTCATTTCCTAAAAGAAATGTTGACTTGATGATATGCAAAGTGATGAAGAGTGGGCAGGAGAGTTGGGCACCTTCAAGTTATGAAAAGTTTAACATCGAAAAGAAAATTTCAACAGCAATTCACCAATAATTACTGCAACCTTAGTATACATACTGCATGCAGGTTTGTCAGCCCATTATAGACTCAAACATCCAAGGCTGATCATTCATGGAAGGGCAGTGACCAGGAAGCAAACAAATCCTCAAGAGACCAAAAATGGCATCAGATTCCCAAACCCAATGAAATAATGAAAAGCAGCCAATAAGCAGAAAATGTCATTCAAGTCCAAGACTTCTGATCAAAGTTAATAAAAATAGAACAATTTCCGCTTCTGGTATGCCATGCAAAGCATAGAAATTGGTAAGAGCGAAATTATAGCTACAAGATTGCATTATCAAAGACCCTTGAAAAAGTACAGTAGAATAAGACCAAGTGTTCCAAAAGGGTAGATGTCCTCTAGATCTGCTTCATGAATGACACCCTTCTTGTAAATAAATACCAACCCGTACCTCTCAAAATGACGCCCTTCTTGTAAATAAATACCAACCCATACCTCTCAAAATGCAGATTGTAAGTTTGTCCTCCAGCATTGTTATTTATCATAGAAATCATGAAAGAAAGAAATTACTTTTAATATTGACAACTACAAAAATGTAATAAGGTTACATTTGCCAAGGGCAGTTATAGAAAGAACACAAATGCCAAATGAAAGAAAAGAACAAAACTTTTATTACTGAATATAATTAACTGTATGTATTATAAATCGTATCGGAAAGCAATCCACACATTTTTGCTATAAAATGTCACATACATGTACATGTACCACAACCAAGATAAATTTTTGCACAGGTATTTATCATAATATCCTGGATATTTTTATTGACTTTACTTACTGTTTCCTATGGAAAGCCATTATGACTAGGCCAATTATTAAGATGTGTTTCTATTAAACCTGTTCTTTTAACTTTAATTTGAAGCTGTATATTGATCACTAATGGACGAGAAAAAGTAAGTGTAGATAACAATGATACACTGTTTTAGCTGTGACTTTTATTGTATGCATTGATTAATATTTTGTTCATTTAAGAAATTTTCTAACCAAAGTTACTTCGGAAACAGAATTAAGCTCAAAATATCGATTTATTCAAGAATTTAGCATAAATAATAACTTTTGAAGAAAAGACTCAACTGGAAGTATAGGACTTGCTTTATCGAATATTTATAAATTCTAAAAAGCAGTTATCAGTCCATGATTATACCTAACAGTAAACAGTGGTATATATAGTACATGTCTTTAAAAAACTTAGCTAGGCATACTATATACAAAAACTATGAATAATATGATGTTGTAATTAAAAAAAATAAAAAATCCAAAGATCTGTCAAAGGTTTATTATGACAAACAGAGGTTCCCCAATAATTGACTATTGGTTATCATGCTTTTTTTGACTCGAGTTAATTAATTTTCAAATCGTATAAAGACACAAACTTAACTGAGTGTCTTTTACAATTTGAAAATGAACTTCATTGTAATGAAAGTTAAAGACGTGATAATCAACCATCACGTGTTTTGGGACCTTTTTTCTTCCGCAACATTCGGCTATTACATCTAAAAAGAATATGTTGGTGGTTTTTTTTGGAAAGCATCTTTTCTGTTTTGGATAAAAAGGGAATTATTTATTTGCCTTGAACTATATGACATCACAATGGAAGATGATGTCGCCAAGCATTGTTACTTGAGATCATAATTACAAGATTGGCCAATGAAATCACGTCTAGGGTGTTACCAACTAGCTGGTAACCAAAAGTGTTTACCAACTCCTAGGTTTATCAAACAAATTGGGAGTTAGAAAACATACAATGGGTTGTGGGAGAAAAATAATTATAAAAGTTTCAAACTAAGGTAAGATCTTGCAATCGGTGAGTAACCAAATAAAAATCAATACATGAAATATATAAGGAAACAAACCATTACACTAAGGGTGTGATACATAAAAAAAAGATATATATTTTGATACCTCATATGATATAATTATATAAGGACACATCAATCCTTACATTTCGATATAAAGGGAGACAACTACTCTTTCATACATGTCATTGATGTGAATGGGGGGTTAACTCCAATACAGGAGCCACAAATTCAAAACCCGTCCAGTGGAATCACTCGATTTTCCATACACTAATTATATGAAAGTCTCTTCTTCCTTTCCTTTCGTAGAAAATTGACTTTGAATTCCTCAGTAAACATGAGAAAACCACATTAAATACAACCGAATGCATTCTGAAATATTGCATAAGCAAACAAAACCTTTGAGAAAAATCTTGGAGGGAAAAAAAGAATTAAATGTAAATCAAACAAGAACGTTAAGAACTTATCTTCATAACCGTTGAGCTCCATATTTTGTTTATAAAACATATACATATATATGGAAAGCTAATTGATATCATGAAAATATACACTGTATGTACCGCCTTACACTTAAACATCATCTTATTAAAAAAACAACATAATGAACTGGATACAATTAGCAATATTGGTCTAAACAAAACAAATTGGCTACCTAAATTAAATCCTCTAACATTACAATTAATATGGTTTCATTAACATATTTCTGTACAAAATGCATAGAAATGATGGTAAGTGTGTCATTTAGTAAACGTGCCCGTTTCTAGCCTGTGTTTTTCCAAATGCAACTATATCTGATGACTCCATTTCTTCACCTAATCCTGTTGTCCTGTCAAATCATTGCTGTATAATAAAATTAAGCTTAAACATTTCAATAATACACCTTTCTTATTCAGGACAAAGATTTGTTCAATGGTTCTTGTGCATCAAATGAAGATGATATCAGCTGTACGAATTGAAAGCAACACTTCTATATGATTTCTAAGTGCATGGAGGAAACAAAACAATACACTAAGTTTACAGTGCAAAGAGGAAAGGATATATGTTCATATCACAAATAAATAAGGACACTTCCACCCTTACGTTTTGTACTCTCTGGGACCAACATAGGTACACCAGTACCTTGTTTTATGTAGGTCATCTTTGTAAAATTGTAATGGATCATATTTTGGACAAAACATCTTTGATGCTTTGAAAAGTTAATGAAACTAATTATCTTTCAAAATTTCAAGAAAAAATCATGCTATTATAGAAACAGTTCAATATGGTTTGATCTGTACACTTTTCCGACTTGGGAGACTAAGACCTGAATTGCATTTTAATTTTCATTCACTATTATTATTCGTGAGAAATTTCAAATATTTTTTTAAGTTCATAATGTCGATTACATGTATATTCCTTTCCCTACGAAGTTAAGTCACACGAGGTCAGAACCATATTAGAGCAATGATTTGTTTGAATTAAAAAAATTGAGGGAAAGCTTTCTCTGTATTTTGTGAGATTTGTTTTTAGAATTGACTTGATTTCTAAAACAAACTTGAGAAAGCAAAATCAAAAACAGCATAAATGTATTCTGAGTAGGACAATAACAAATATTATATATACGAACAAAACCCTCTAGAAAATCTTTAAAAAAAAAATGTAAACCGAACTATACTGTTAAGAAAAATGTCATAATTACCACTCAACTCAAAATTTCGTTTATATAACACACAAGTATATAGTGAAAGCTAAATAATATCATGAACATAAATGTACCAACTTACATTCAAACATCGTTTGATTAAAAAGCATTTCGCAATATGCTTATACAAAAAAAAATGACTACCTTAACTGGAGCTTCTAACAATACAATACCAATATAATTTCACTTAGAAATTTCTGTCCAGATTGCCTGGCGCTGAGAGTAACTTTATAAGTGCGTCAATTGTTAAACTTGCCTGTCTCTTGCCTGTGTTTTCTCAAAATGTAACTGATGGCTGGCATTCTATATATGTGGTGACATCATTTCTATATAGTTTATGCTGTCGTACTGTCAAATCAATGCTATATGATAAAGCTAACATATCTCTTTAAAACCACACACAAGTAAAACATTACTTTCCGCAAACCTTCATCATCTGTGCCTATTCACGTCAGAATAGGAACCATCGGTAAGTTAGGTAAACATAAATAAAAATAGGAATATATTCATACAAATGTGATTAATATACATGTCATAATAAATTTGTTATATTAACCAAAAGCATATCTTCATGTTAAATCTACACTTGTATAACGTTGAAAGTTTACAGAATATATACATTGATAAGTGTATTTACAGCAATCTTAACGGCTTCGAAAAATAAAATTGAGGAAATGATAGAATATTTGATGTATAAATACTCCCATAACAATGTAGTTGCAATGGCACAGTTGTTACTTTTATAGTATTGTTATGTTACGTTTATCCAGAATAAGGAAGAGTTTCCGTTTCGAAATTTTACAATTAGATCAAACTATCTTATTAACGTATGTACAATTTGTATATTCTACAACATTTGATCATCTTTGTTTTATTTTTGCTTTAAGCCGTTAGGTAGTTAACCTAAAATGCACTTTTCAAGGACCAGATTGCAAAGTCCATATATGTACATGTATAGGGATATGGGCTAACATAAGATTATACATCCCAACTTTAACTTCAAGTTATATATCGGTATATCCGTGAACTCACCTAAGCTACTATGATACATCATATATAACATTGTAAAGCAGGCTTAACATTGTAAAGCAGGTTATATAAAAGTTCCGGAGTCTAGAAAAGTATTTCAAAACACACATTTTTGTTTAGTTAAACACACCTACATTTCTAGATTTTGTTGCCGTCGTTCTGTATTCCCAATCTCGTGGTCGTGAATACCATCTTCATCATCATATATGTTACTTATTTTCTTTCAAGAAAAAAAACCTTTTCAGCGAACATATTTACGTTTTTCTACTATAGAAGAGTACGTAGGCATTTCTTGCGATCCCCTCTTGAAATATGCGTTCTTCCTTTATTTCACGGACGGTGGAGTCGCTACAGTAGAACCACCTGTTGGTGTGTTGTTTCCTTACATACGAGGTGTAGTGACCACCAAGCATGCTTCCACGGTGTAAGACAACGCCGTACAACTCGTACTCCAACTCTTTCTGTAAACAAAGCACATTTGGAATCCATTTTAATTTGTGTGTTCAAAAAGGTAGACACATACACATGTATTAATCGTAAGTTGACCTAAAACATAATTAAGATTCTACCACCTCGGCGTTAGTAACCATGCAGTATTAGACAACATTAGTATGCGTATGCACGTTCTTTTTTCCAGTAAACCATGCTCATGGAACTGTTCCAAATCCCTCTACCGTGTATTGTGAAAGTAAACTAGTGAGCGGTGTATTTAACTAATTCTACCTAATCCTTCATTACTCAGTAGAATTAGTGCCTGTTCTCAAGTCAATTTCTTGTTCCGGTTATCTAATTTTGTCAATGATTTGGAAGAATTGTTTTAAGACTTAAAGCCGAATGAATATCGATTTGTGTCTGTCATTTTGACCGTATCACATGATTTGAACAAAAAATCTATGCCTGAGCATAAGAACGATTTCATGAATACGGATCCAGGTCATTTGGTGCAATTTCACGAAATAATGAGCTTACCTATGTACGGAAAGTTATTGTAAAAGGAAAACATGATAAATGTTTGCATGATCAAAATAACAATTTAACTTATTTATTTTATGCATAGAACACGTTGCCACTATACATGAACACGTTGCCTGTATACATAGAACACGTTGCCTGTATACATAGAACACGTTGCCTATATACATAGAACACGTTGCCTGTATACATAGAACACGTGTCCTGTATACATAGAATACGTTGCCTGTATACATAGAACACGTTTCATGTATACATAGAACACATTGCCTGTATACATAGAACACGTTGCCTGTATAAATAGATGTATACATAGAACACGTTGCCTGTATACGTTGCCTGTATACATAGAACACGTTGCCTGTATACATAGAACACGTTGCCTATATACATAGAACACGCTGCCTATATACATAGAATACGTTGCCTGTATACATAGAACACGTTGCCTGTATACATAGAACACGTTGCCTATATACATAGAACACGCTGCCTATATACATAGAATACGTTGCCTGTATACATAGAACACGTTGCCTGTATACATAGAACACGTTGCCTATATACATAGAACACGCTGCCTATATACATAGAATACGTTGCCTGTATACATAGAACACGTTGCCTGTATACATAGAACACGTTGCCTATATACATAGAACACGCTGCCTATATACATAGAACACGTTTCCTGTAAACATAGAACACGTTGCCTGTATACATAGAACACGTTGCCTATATACATAGATAACGTTGCCTATATACATAGAACACATTGTCTGTATACATAGAACACGTTGCCTGTATACATAGATGAATAAATAGAACACGTTGCCTGTATACATCGAACAGGGTGCCCGTATACATATAACACGTTGCCTATTCAAATAGAACACGGTGCCTGTATACATAGAACACGTTTCCTGTATACATAGAACACGTTTCCTGTATACATAGAACACGTTAACTGTATACATAGAACACGTTGACTGTATACATAGATGTATACAGAGAACACGTTGCCTTTATACATAGAAGTATACAGAGAACACGTTGCCTGCATACATAGAACAGGGTGCCTGGATACATATAACACGTTGCCTATTCAAATAGGACACGTTGCCTGTATACATAGCACCCGTTGCCTATATACATATAACACGTTGCCTATACAAATAGAACACGTTGCCTGTATACGTTGCCTGTATACATATAACACGTTGCCTATTCAAATAGGACACGTTGCCTGTATACATAGCACCCGTTGCCTATATACATATAACACGCTGCCAATATACATAGAACACGTTGCCTATATACATAGATAACGTTGCCTGTATACATAGATAACGTTGCCTGTATAGCCTATATACATAGAACACGTTGGCTGTATACATAGAACACGTTGACTGTATACATAGATGTATACAGAGAACACGTTGCCTGTCTACATAGAACAGGGTGCCTGTATACATATAAGCCTGTATACATAGAACACGTTGCCTGCATACATAGATGTATACATAGAACTCGTTGCCTGTATACATAGAACAGGGTGCCTGGATACATATAACACGTTGCCTATTCAAATAGGACACGTTGCCTGTATACATAGAGCACGTTGTCTATATACATAGATAACGTTGCCTGTATACATAGATGTGTACATAGAACATGTTTCCTATATACATAGAACACGTTTCCTGTATACATCGAACAGGTTGCCTGTATATACATAGAACTCGTTGCATGTATACATAGAACACGTTGCCTGTTTACATAGAACACGTTGCCTATATACATAGATAACGTTGTCTATATACATAGAACACGTTGTCTATATACATAGAACACGTTGCCTGCATACATAGATGTATACATAGAACTCGTTGCCTGTATACATAGATGTATACAGAGAACACGTTGCCTGTATACATAGAACAGGGTGCCTGTATACATATAACACGTTGCCTATTCAAATAGAACACGTTGCCTGTATACATAGAACACATTGCCTGTATAAATAGAACATGTTGCCTATATACATAGAACACGTTGCCTGTATACATAGATGTATACAGAGAACACGTTGCCTGTAACACGTTGCATGTATACATAGAACACGGTGCCTGTATACATAAAACACGTTGCCTGTACACATAGAACACGATGCATGTATACATAGAACAGGTTGCTTATACATAGAACACGTTTCCTGTATACATCGAACAGGTTGCCTGTATATACATAGAACTCGTTGCATGTATACATAGAACACGTTGCCTGTATACATAGAACACGTTGCCTGTATACATCGAACACGTTGCTTGTATACATAGAACACGTTGCCTGTATACATAGAACACGTTGCCTATATACATAGAACCCGTTGCCTATATACATAGATGTATACATAGAACAGGTTGCCTGTATACATAGAACATGTTGCCTTTATACATAGAACACGTTGCCTGTACACATAGAACACGTTGCCTGTATACATAGAACACGTTGCCTGTATACATAGAGCACGTTGCCTGTATACATAGAACACGTTGCCTGTATACATAGAACACGTTGCCTGTATACATAGAACACGTTGCCTGTATACATAGAACACGTTGCCTGTATACATAGAACACGTTGCCTGTATACATAGAACACGTTGCCTGTATACATAGAACACGTTGCCTGTATACATAGAACACGTTGCCTGTATACATAGAACACGTTGCCTGTATACATAGAACACGTTGCCTGTATACATAGAACACGTTGCCTGTATACATAGAACACGTTGCCTGTATACATAGAACACGTTGCCTGTATACATAGAACACGTTGCCTGTATACATAGAACACGTTGCCTGTATACATAGAACACGTTGCCTGTATACATAGAACACGTTGCCTGTATACATAGAACACGTTGCCTGTATACATAGAACACGTTGCCTGTATACATAGAACACGTTGCCTGTATACATAGAACACGTTGCCTGTATACATAGAACACGTTGCCTGTATACATAGAACACGTTGCCTGTATACATAGAACACGTTGCCTGTATACATAGAACACGTTGCCTGTATACATAGAACACGTTGCCTGTATACATAGAACACGTTGCCTGTATACATAGAACACGTTGCCTGTATACATAGAACACGTTGCCTGTATACATAGAACACGTTGCCTGTATACATAGAACACGTTGCCTGTATACATAGAACACGTTGCCTATATACATAGAACACGTTGCCTATATACATAGAACACGTTGCCTGTGTACATAGAACAGATTGTCTGTATACATAGAACACGTTGCCTGTATACATATATGTATACATAGAACACGTTGCCTGTATACATAGAACACGTTGCCTATATACATAGAACACGTTGCCTATATACATAGAACACGTTGCCTATATACAGAGAACACGTTGCCTATATACATAGAACACGTTGCCTATATACATATATGTATACATAGAACACGTTGCCTGTATACATAGAACACGTTGCCTATATACATAGAACACGTTGCCTATATACATAGAACACGTTGCCTATATACATACATATATGTATACATAGAACACGTTGCCTGTATACATAGAACACGTTGCCTATATACATAGAACACGTTGCCTATATACATAGAACACGTTGCCTATATACATATATGTATACATAGAACACGTTGCCTGTATACATAGAACACGTTGCCTATATACATAGAACACGTTGCCTATATACATAGAACACGTTGCCTATATACATAGAACACGTTGCCTATATACATAGAACACGATTCCTGTATACATAGAACACGTTGCCTGTATACATAGAACACGTTGCCTATATACATAGAACACGTTGCCTATATACATAGAACACGTTGCCTATATACATAGAACACGATTCCTGTATACATAGAACACGTTGCCTGTATACATAGAACACGTTGCCTATATACATAGAACACGTTGCCTATATACATAGAACACGTTGCCTATATACATAGAACACGTTGCCTATATACATAGAACACGATTCCTGTATACATAGAACACGTTGCCTGTATACATAGAACACGTTGCCTATATACATAGAACACGTTGCCTATATACATAGAACACGTTGCCTGTATACATAGATGTATACATAGAACATGTTGCCTATATACATAGAACACGTTGTCTATATACATAGATGTATACATAGAACATGTTGCCTATATACATAGAACACGTTGTCTATATACATAGAACACGTTGCCTATATACATAGAACACGTTGCCTATATACATAGAACACGATTCCTGTATACATAGAACACGTTGCCTGTATACATAGAACACGTTGCCTATATACATAGAACACGTTGCCTATATACATAGAACACGTTGCCTGTATACATAGAACACGTTGCCTGTATACATAGAACACGTTGCCTGTATACATAGAACACGTTGCCTGTATACATAGAACACGTTGCCTGTATACATAGAACACGTTGCCTGTATACATAGAACACGTTGCCTGTATACATAGAACACGTTGCCTGTATACATAGAACACGTTGCCTGTATACATAGAACACGTTGCCTGTATACATAGAACACGTTGCCTATATACATAGAACACGTTGCCTATATACATAGAACACGTTGCCTGTATACATAGAACACGTTGCCTGTATACATAGAACACGTTGCCTATATACATAGAACACGTTGCCTATATACATAGAACACGTTGCCTGTGTACATAGAACAGATTGTCTGTATACATAGAACACGTTGCCTGTATACATATATGTATACATAGAACACGTTGCCTGTATACATAGAACACGTTGCCTATATACATAGAACACGTTGCCTATATACATAGAACACGTTGCCTATATACATAGAACACGTTGCCTATATACATAGAACACGTTGCCTATATACATAGAACACGTTGCCTATATACATAGAACACGTTGCCTATATACATAGAACACGTTGCCTATATACATACATATATGTATACATAGAACACGTTGCCTGTATACATAGAACACGTTGCCTATATACATAGAACACGTTGCCTATATACATAGAACACGTTGCCTATATACATAGAACACGTTGCCTATATACATAGAACACGTTGCCTATATACATAGAACACGTTGCCTATATACATAGAACACGTTGCCTATATACATAGAACACGTTGCCTATATACATAGAACACGTTGCCTATATACATAGAACACGTTGCCTATATACATAGAACACGATTCCTGTATACATAGAACACGTTGCCTGTATACATAGATGTAAACATAGAACATGTTGCCTTTATACATAGAACACGTTGTCTATATACATAGAACACGTTGCCTATATACATAGAACACGTTGCCTATATACATGCATATATGTATACATAGAACACGTTGCCTGTATACATAGAACACGTTGCCTTTAAGTCATTGAAGTAACATTTTTCCAACATTTTCTCAACGTCGTTAGATGTATATATTTGAACATGTATACATGTATGCATGTATGCATGCGTATATTTGGATTATTTTAAAAATAAACCACTGAATTACGGCGATGACATCGATTGCATTAATAATTTCATAGGCATATGATTTTAATTATTTGTGAGACGTTTTGAAGATATTTACGGTTAAGTAAATTGAATCAGCAAAACAGCACCATTTGATCAAAGTTTGATGATAAAGCATTAAGCTTCATTATTGTCAATTGGAAAAAGAATGTGTGGAGAAAGAGAAATGTATTAAATGTCTAATACCTTGTCTATTGTATAGTCTCTGTTGACTCTCAGCGTCATTTGGAACTTTACTGGGTGATCTGTCTTTCTCAATTCCTTCAAATAGCCGTCCACAACAGTGGATACCTTGACAAAAGTAAAGTTCATTGTTAGGAAATATATTAAGTCATCGTTAGGAATGCTTTTGTCTTCAACAACTCAACAACTCATTAAAACTTTATTTTCGATATCAGAATATATACGTACCTCCTCAAAACGTGCTAGCTGCAGCATCAAGATTTTTGGAGCCTCTGACATCTGAAGAGACCGAGTTGTGATGGCTGCATGACAAAAAAAAACACTTTAAACACATTCATATTAGCGCTTCAGAAATTACAGTGGTATTAGAGGAATTCGCGAAAGTTAAAATCAGCAAATACATGAATTCGGGCAAACATTATTATTATATAATCCAATTATTCGTTTTATCTATCGATTGGTAAGCCATCTTCTTTAATAATAACACGTGTTTTGATTATCTTTGGTATTTTGATATCTGGTATATTTAAGCAAACAAAATTGGAAAATTTGACAAATTTGCGTATCGTCAACACTAGTATAAGAAATGTAGCGTACCTTTGTATATTATTGAAATAGACAAATAAAGCATGATCAGGTGGTTTACTAGACACAAAGCTTACTTTTTTCTCTACGGACGTTACATTCTCGACATGGCAAAGCACCTTGTGAGAACTCTTCTCTATTGAAAAACACGTCCAGTCCATTTTCAAGGGAATACTGAAAGAATCAAACTAAAACATTAAATGTGTCTATATTGAGTTTCTGTGTTGACAAATTAATGAAGTACAAACAAACTCAAATTGAAATTCTTAATATTTTTATCGTACACTAAATAAATGTTTCATTGATAAATATATAGATATATTACCACATCCTCCCTAACTGGTATCAGGAGACTATAAAACAGCTGATCATCGACATTTTCCTCCTGTAAAACAGAATAACAATTCTATTCAGTATTGATTTATATCTTTTTATAGTAAATAAATGCCCTAAGCTGGGATTGGATCCTTGGTTTTGCGCGTTTATTTGTCTATCATTAAAACATGTTTAACATTAAAAGGTTTATATAAACTGAATGTATTGAAAACCTTTGCTGGTCATGAGAAGAAGACCTTGTATTTCATATGTTGCACAACCCTATATTATTTTGTGAACTTCTTCAGAGGAGCTGGGATACCAAAAATCACAATACCTAAATACCATTAAGAAATGCATCGATTTTATTCTGCAATATCATCATGCTTTACTTCTAAAATGTTTTAAAAAATCGATGTAAATTCAACTGCAAGGATTTTTTTCACTTTTTAGGAGGCACGGTAATCTAGGGCTCGTGACTGAAGGGTTGTGGGTTCGAGTCACGCCACGGCACTGTGTTGTATTTTTGAGCAAGATGCTTTACTCCGCTTGTTCCAGTCTACTCAGCTGTAAATGAGTACGTGGTTGGGCAGTGCTAGAATTGTTGAAGGATAGCTGTGAGCGCCGAAATAGCAGCACCGTCTGTATGCTCCCCAGGGGATTGAGAAAGATATTGGCTGGTTACATAGGCCCTTTAACCAGGGAAAATAATTTGTGAACTGCTTTGAGACGACCTACGAACTAGGTTGTGATAAAGCGGTATAGACGCACCTCAATTAGCATTCCTGTTAGCTTTGAATTAACATATATATCACGTATTTACGGAATCAGTATATGGACTATTTAATGGCTTCCCTTTGAATAGAATATGCAGTTTTAACGATATTAGAATGGACATCACATTTGTATTGGTATGCCACATTCAACGCTATATTTTTACTAGTTATTTTTTTATATATATATTCACTGAAGTGAGTGTATCACTTTTATCCTCCTGACTTTTCCCTGTATTGTGCTGGTAATGAAGTCATAAAACGAGATATTCAACATACATGTGAGCAGTCGTTGTAAGTAAACAGACTGGTGAGGCGACTTTCAAACAGTGTAGTAGGACAGGAACCTATAACAAAATAGATTAAAATTTGTATCACATACCATAATTCAAACTCATAATCGATCAAACTAGGGTTTCATATGAAGATTTACATGCAGATCATTGACTCAAAGTTCGACAAGCTTTTGGAAAACCACTAGGAATCGAAATAGAATAGAAAGAATCTATTTGAGCCTATTAAGTGTTCAGGTGAACATCTAACCGTAACACATGGACAGTGCGGTTTATAATCTGAAGTTGTTACTATAATAAAATCTATTATTTCAGTCGAGGGTAAATATTCTGTAACAAAATCCCAACCGAGGCGTAAGCCGAGGTTGGGATGTTACAGAATCTCAGCCCGAGACTAAGATAATCTGATCTTGCTCAGTTACAGGTAATGGATTGTTTTTCTCGCACCTTTTAGTTAGAAAAAATGTTATTTTGCTAAAAACTTCAAGAATCCCGTCTGGGGCCTTAAGTGAAAATGACCTCTTCACTACTTAATCTACATTTGAATTCTTCCGCGTAAAAATGTAGTGCGTTCTTACATAGATGATAACGGATTTCACAGTATAGATTAAATTTTATCTACAACATCATATATCTAACAACATCAAAACTATACATATAACAATAAAACAAAACATTTATAATGCAGATTGTCAATTTCAAGCATTTAACGCGCAGTGTAAAAATTCCGCGAGATGTCACGTAAAGGTGCAAGTCAGATCGGACGAGATAGAAAAATCTAGCATGGGGTATGACGTGGGATATCTCTGTCTGAGATGCGAGAATATACAGTTTATTTCAATGTAACGACACTACCTAATCAATATCATTTCATATCAACTCTACATCATGAAAAAAATAGAATAATAAGATTATTTCTCAAATAGAAAGGAAGGTATTTACTAGTTTTTTATGATATTTGCATAAAAGGTCTTACTTTTTTCCTTCTTGCGTTGTGGAGCTACTACCTCTTTTGATCTGCAACTCTAACAGATGAAGATAAATAAAATATCAATTTAACATCTATTTACTAAACTTGTAAAACCAAATAATATAGCCATTCAACGTACAAATGATGTTCTCACATACCAAATCCTGTTTAGAAATTAGCGCAAATATTAGCATTTTGATATAATATGACGTACACGTCATTGCTGTTAATAGGTGTTGGTTAAATAAAAAAACATATAATGCCCTTAGATATATAAATTGTAAATAAACGACTTCCAAAAATACTTTCACCATTGAATGTTTGATTCACGAGCGGTTTTGTTTGCTCCTATTCCCTGGTAAACTAATTTATCATCACTATTTTTATTATTTGGAATGTTTTCCAGCAAATTATCGTTGAAAAAATTGCATATTCACACGAGAATATAAAATCTACAGCAACTTTCCACACCATCCTGTAAGCTTAAAGTTGTATTACATGTAGCTGTTACATCACGAATACGTGGTCCCACATTCTTAGCAAGAACTTAACGTTTGGAAGAAGAATATAGGGGATTATTTTCGTGAGATAGGTTAATTTTAGGACCATTCTAAATCTTTGAATGACCATAAATATATACTTTATTCATATTACAACTATTGAACGAATGTTATCAACATCTGTAAATCATTCTTGTTGGCCTTGATGTAAGGAAACCAGAGTACCCTTAGAAAACCGACAACCCACTACATACCTTTTTACTTCCGATTAGGGAATCGAACCAGTCGCAAAGGGATGGTTAATGACTGATAAATTCATTGTTGTTTTTATGTACAAGGGATGGTTAATGACTGATATATTTATTGTTGTTTTTATGTACAAGAGATGGTTAATGACCGATAAATTTATTGTTGTTTTTATGTACAAGAGATGGTTAATGACCGATATATTTGTTGTTGTTTTTATGTACAAGGGATGGTTAATGACTGATATATTTATTGAGCTAAAACAATATCTTCTTCTGTATCGCCCCTGGTACATATATGTGTTATATGTATATAAGGAATAAAAGAGTATGTTTGATTTTTATTTTACATATGAAACAGATTTAAATGCGAAAATTGGAGGTTTTTTTAATATCAATGTACATTTAAAAAAACATATTTCGACCTTGCTTGAAATAACTTGAATACACGTATTCCGTCTTTTCGTATTGCAGAGTTATCTGCTCTTGTGAACAGGTATTGATTGTTACGTCATTAGTTTGTGTGAGAAAATTACGTCGTTTTCTCAAACATCTATGACGTTACTCTCACAAACAAATGACGTAACAATCAATACCTGCTCACAAGAGCAGATAACTCTGCAATACGAAAAGACGGAATAAGAGAAAGTGCCTTTATCGAGTCTTTCGATTTTTTCCTCTCTTATCTACCTTAGTAAGTTTTCCTCAGATTTTTGAATATTTTAATCTTATTTTCAGCTTCAGAACACTGTAAACAGTGCGTTCTAGAATTCCAGTAGACATTTATACATGAAACTTTACCAAGACTGGTGATAAACGGTCTGGTACGTTCTCTAATTGTACATTCCATATTATGCTATTTTATTTCATGCGATGTCAAATTGAATGCTTTCCATCATGGATGTAAATATACATTAATAAAGATTTTTGTTTTCAAATGGTATTTCTTGTAGACAAGCATATACTAATTAGATATGACATATTGATAATTTGATATTGAAGAAAACTAAATTATGAACAGCAAGTTAAGTAAGTATTTGTGATCACATATTTATCTGAATGGAAAACCAATTTGTTTTAAAGTGCTTTTGAATGCTTTAACTTACATCAATTTTTTCTGCTGTGCTTTTCTTTGTCACAGTTGCTTCGTCGCTGTCTGTGTCGCAACCGATTGTCTTTTCGGCGTTTTCTGAATATATCATAAATGTTTTTGAATTATCTTTTTATCTAATCTGATCGAAATATGTAAGAAACAAAAATATCAACATTTGCAAATATTGCATATTGAACATGGTACATGCTAAAATGCTAAAAGATATGAAAAGCGCTGTTTTCTTAAAGGAACGAAGTATAATCTTTGGTTCGCTTTAAGATAATGCAATAGTAGGTTGTACTAAAAACACATTAACGTTCAGGTCTCTTTTTCATGAACATGTTTTTGGGATGTTAAGTATAGATAGTATGCAGACTCAACTAGAACGATATGTACTGTATTATTAGACAAATGACCAGTAAACGATTTCATTTTCAATTCATACATATTTTACAACTAAGTGTGACGTTTCGATAATAAGAACTATTTGAAGACTCAAAAGAATGACTGATAAAGCAAAACGTCACAGAATGCGACTAAAATTCAGATGCAAGAACTTAGCCTCATCCAATACATCAAATATCGAAAAAATCTGGAACATGGTTTTGGGTCCGATAAGAAAATAAACGACGGAAAGAAATTTACCAGATCGGGAAAGAAAGACCTAGTCGGTGTTCCAGATCTATGAATCGGCAATCATAGATCATGTCACAACGTACGTAATCGTGTCACTGACTTGGTTAATTTCAAAGTCGAGACAGGGAGAGCAACCTGTTCAAGCAGCCATTCAATGAAATCAATTGAATGTGCTGTAGCGGGCAAGTTCTGACTCAGGATGAAATGATCGTCATTTCGTATATGGATACCAACAAATTATACATACGCTTATAGCGTAGCCGAATCGAATTACTTTGCGTTTCATTTGTCATTTCCTACATGATTAACACATAAGTGTAATATGCTTCACTAGTCATTTGTCTGATGAATGTGATCGAATGTATGCCGTTCCTCAGTCGCCGGGTGGCAAGTCCTTCCAATCACTAAGGGTGTTTCATTGAGGTTTTTGTGAAATTCTGTTCAGCGGCACAGAAGAAATCATTTGAAGAAAAACTCGATATCATACCTGGGTGCTTCTTCTTTTCTGTCTCTTCTTTCATCAACGCATTCAATAAAGACATAATGAATGAGTGGCAATCATTCTCCTGGTATCTTCGAAATGATTCATCACTGAAAAAAATCGTGTGTTCTTGTATCAATTGAAAACACGTAAACACAATTAAAACTATGTGTAACTATATTTGTACTGGTTTCATATTTCGTACATCTGGTTGTTCTTTGATTTAGTTTTTCAAACGATAAACTTTACCATCAATACCTAGTGTTGATAAAAAATACAGCATTACATGAAGAAACAAATTCAAACTTACATCCGGAATATTCTCGCCATGAGTTGTTCCATCAGTCTCCAGTTCAGGACATAATTACTTTCTTCTCCAACATTGACGTTTTCTAGGAGCTTTTTCAACAGTGTTTCCATGTGATTCTGCGTTATAAATAAACACAAATAGATCACTATTCCTTGATGCCAGCGCAGGTTATATTTTACATTGACACTATGACATATATATTTTTTTCAATTTTATTTTGCCTACCAATCTGAAAAATAGAATTTGACTGAAAAGAAGGAATATTTCGTAAAGCTTGATAATTGTTATCTCTGAACCACGTATATATCAGTACATACTCCAAAGCAAAATTGACACACATTTTATTTTATCGAGGTAATCATATTGCTACCACTTTAAATTAATCGCCGTTTTTAGCGTGGACATCTTGGTATGCATTTTCGCTTATTTTACCTCTCCACTGCTGAAGCAGTACTTGTTCAAAATATCTTTGAATCCTGGAGTCTGGCCGAGAACCTGACAAGAAAACAAGAACAGTATTTGTTACATAACTGCAGTACATCTTTGCTTACATCAAGAATATAATATTTGCAATCGTACAAGTGTGCTATATTTTGATACAGAACAACTGTCCGCCTAAAGGTTGATTCAGTTGATTTAGTTGGGTCGCAAAGGAGATTGATATCTTATGATGCTGTTTAATCATTAAATTATTGAATACCGCAGATGACTAGAAAATATATCATGGCATGCACCTGTAGTTAATTATTTTCGCAGAGTTACATAATTTCATCACATACTTACTTGCAACACACAGCTAGCATAACAAGTTAACCCAATGTTTGGTATACCCTGAATAAAATGATACAATTATAGTAATTATTCAAGACATTTAAACTGTTATGATATTTACCTTATGCATTTTGTATAAAAATGTATTCATAATAGAACAAAATGGTGTAAATAGTATTTCTCTGTCGTTGAAACAAAGTATGAAAGTGAATCCTCTTTAACTGAATTATTGTGCAGTTTCTTTTAGAGCGTGTGTTTGCGCTATTACTTGTGGTATTATGAATGCCAGAAAAAAAGACTGATTTGATTATGACGCAATTGCATACTTGTCAATGTATCGCTTTAATCGAAACAACTTTTAGAGATCTGAATCAAATCGCGCAAATGACTGTAAGCGTGTATCGTTTAACCGCCAATACACGCGAAGAGAAGAAAAATCACAGGAAGATTTAAATTTGATGACCAATAATAAGTTTTAAAATGAATATGTTATGAACGGTACACTGCGATTGGGAATAAAAACAAACAACGAAAGCAATGAATTTATCTTACTCTCCGTGTAATGAATTATATGACCGTAGTGATTATACGGTATACCTAAGGAAGCAGTTACATGTATATTTGACAAGTTGTGCATATAGTTGTTTGACGGCAATATATATAAACATAAAATTTAAAACATTACATGTCCATGTGAAGAGAGTAAGTATAGAAAAAATAAGACATAACGACTGACTTCAAAACTGGAAGCTTTCGCCTTTCACAGGGTTTATTTAAATTATTATCAACAATATTTATCCGACACTAATGTAAGAAAAAAGAAAGGAGATCATTTCACATCAAAACATTAAAACCAAGTCTCATCAGGTCACAATACTTTCTGGCGCTATTTTCTCCACCAATCTTGTGTTTATTATGACGTCATTTTACTATTGTTGTGTGCTGACATGTAATTGAGACGTCAGGACGTGGTCCTTTTGAAACCTAAAGCGCCATATGCATGTGAAGGGTGAACGTTTCGCGTTTTGAAGTCGATCGTTAAATTTATGTTTTTTCTATATAATTGTTTCACTGCTATATGTTCATAACCGTTAATGACCCTATCTAAGTAGCAGCAATGTCAACAACACTATCTGAATTATTTCCTATTTTGTCATATTTTCATTCTTTTCCGTAAGATATTTAGCTACTCACCAGTATTTCGGGTTTGATATCTGAAGGTGTCTGAAAGAATTAAACGACATTCTGATATGACATGCTCGACATGTTGGGGATATAATTGTTTTAAAGTAACTACAGTATAACCTCAATGTATCGCCACCCGTCGTACCGCCAAACTCGGGTACCGCCATATGCCACAATTTAAGAAATGTATCTTTTATACGCCATAATGTTCATAACCATCCAAAGAAACTAGTGACTCCTTATCAGCAATCACACCAACATGTATCGGAATTATTTCCCATTTCTATCGTGTGTTTGCCTTTTACAATATAATTCTCGCTACTCACCTGTATTTTCGATTTGCCTTGAGAAGATGTCTGAAAGAATTAAATGACATAACATACTTCATCGATTTAACACAAACGCATAAGGAACGGTTTGGCTTTTATAGGGAATATCTTAAAATATGCCATTGCCTGATGGTAAAACATGACTAAAACTATATAAATAATTTTCGCAAATTTGCATCTAAAGTTTGTATTAATCATACTTGAAAAAATTGAAATCAGATGTCGTTTAATTGGATAAAGTATTATGGAGTGTGCTAGTCCTATACATGTGACGTTGTACAAAAAAGATAATGCACATATTTTCTGAAGAACCTGATGTTAACTTTTTGTATCTTAATTTTCAATCTTTTAAAAAATCTATTGGGTATACATGTATACCAAGGCCTTTTATAAAACAATTGTCGCACTTTCATAAGGAGGTAAGTGCACCCACATACTGCCTTCAGCAGATATACAAATAGTTGTCACAGACCAAAAAAGTAATATCAACAGTAAAATCCCATATTACAATGGATTCCTAAGAAAGTATACTTATATGATACGTCACATTTATGAATACATTACACACGTCCTGCCCCGGCCACACATTCACGGATCGGACGCAGGATTAGCCACGGATATGATCCGGAATCATTCCTGGCAATCTGTAGTGGTCCGTAGCTGTCCGTATTATATCCTGGATCAATCGTAGTAGTACTTGTATATACGTGACAATTTTTGAATATGTTCATCACGGATAAGACAACAGTAGTACATCCTTACTGAACCGTAGTAGAACGTACTAATCCATTGTACAGTATGTAGTCCGTTTTAAACCGTAATTAGCCGTACTTATTCGTAGTACATCCCCGGCCTCAAGTCGCCACGGATCGGTACGGTTAGTTATGGTGAACTACGTACTTGTACTAACCCGTACTAAAATCAAAATTAAGTTGTGGAGTGAACACGCGAGCACTGAGGAGTTTGTTTACGGATTGCTTACCGTGACAGGTCCGTTGTGCTCCGTGCGAATTCGTACTTATCCGTGCCAGACCGTTTTAATTCGTGCTTACCCGTACTAAAATCGTAGCGAACCGTTGTGAATCCGCAGTGCATACTCCGTGACACGCGTCATTCCGTACTAAACCGTACCGAACCGTAGCAATCCGTATCACTTCGCGTTGTCAATTAGCGCTATCCGTAGTCAAACCGTGGCGCATCCGTATCAGACCACAGATATAGACTATTCCGGGGTCATCCATGAGTTTACTGTAGTGGATCCGGCGAGACGAATGTGTGACCGGGGCATAATAGAACTAGCTGTAAACAAGACGCTAAACCCATAAAACTAAGCCAACTAAACCATACATTACTGACACAGACCAAAAAGGTATTATCAAAAATAAAATTCCTTAAAACAATGGATTCCTACGAACGTTTGTTTGCAAAATACGAATTACTGAAAATGGGTATATGGGTCAAGGAATAATTGCAACAATCAGATCAAGGCCTGTAATATAGAAAAACTTATATAAGAACATACTCGAAATGAAATAAAAGATAATAAATCTGATTTTTAAATGATAACCCCTCGGGTAGTGAAAGCCAAAGAGAGCAGTTATACTTGACCAATATAGCAGTGCTTGTGCGATCACTCAAAATAAAATAAAAATGCTTTGATAACTAAAACTTGAAGAAAGTTGCTGAAGCTGGGAATTTGATATGACATAAAAACCTATCACGATGATTCGCCCCGTGATGGTTGAAATATTGTGTTTATTATCAGATTTAGTGAACGGAGGAGAAAAATGTATTATAATCAATAATGTACAATACACTAAGAAACATGTAATTTCGTTCACAAAATCTGACAGCGTATGTCAGTCTCGTACGATCATAACACTGAGCCAGTTTATCAAATAACTACCGGAAAGGAAAGCAAACGGAGAACAAGTGCTAGTTGTTCGTTCATACCGTTAACGTTTGTTTTCCTTCTCTTTCAAAATAAATAAAATTAATGTTACTTTTCGATGTTTTCCTATTTTCCTTTATCTGGATAGAGGAGCGGATCGCATCAAAAATGTGACAACTTTATATTCTTTCCACTGTTGCAATTACTCCGTTGCCCCATAAATAGATGTACTATATGCATCATATCACCTATCTCCAACTAATTTCTATTTTTATTCACTATTCCCATTATGATTACAGAGATGTGATATGAAGTAACGCTACGAAAATAAAACACAAATGTCTCGTTTTTTCCTTCCAAGGAAGGTTACAATAAGATATAACAATTCTCTTTTTTTCAAAACATCAATCTAAGCTTTGAATTTTTAATCGTCGCTAAGAAATCCATTGGAAATTTGAAACTTCCTGCTTCACATAAAACTAAACTATTACACTCTTGACATCCCGATGGAGAGATGGAGAGGTGGACTCTTATATTTCAATATCACTCAAGCAGTAGGTGAACAACAAAGAATGCATTGCTTTATTGTGTAGAGCAAAAGATAAATGTTGCAAAATTGATTGGTGTGGCTGGTTGTATCAACAATGAGTGTGTATTGATGTTGCTACCGCCTCTCTTACAGGATATCTATTTGCTTTTCAAAGGTTAAGCTAATTGATATTGATATGCTTTATCAATGTATAGCCTTGACTTGTATGAAGTTGAATAACTCATCGATTAATTGAGTACGGTACTGATGTATTGACATTTTTTTTATCTGTTCCATTTCCAGCAGAAAAAATTGAGACAAAGCCAATGAGACAATAACTTGGTCAAAATTTAAGACCAAACTAAAGTTTCGTTTTAGACCGGTCAGACTAGACCTAACCAGACTAGACCATGTATTCTTGTATGCCTGTGCATGAAACATCAAATACACACAGTTTTCAATAGTATAGTGTCAACTAACATTCACTTACAATATGTAACAATGTGCTGATATGAAAAAAAACCGCTAATAGCTGCAATCAGTCGTTTCGTGTCAACTTATAGCTAAATCTGATCGTAAGATAGGGTATCCTTTCACTTACGCATGTTGGAACTTTGCATTTGATCACGTCTCCTTTGTTTTGTTTTTGCGCCGAAAAACAAATAATGCATAATCTATGATTACATGATAACGTCTGACGAATATTTCCCTTCATAGACTGCAACAGATAAATAAAGAAACTTATATGAATGAAATGGACATATTGACTGAATATCGCATCTGTTAATCAAATGATCACTGTTTTATTTACGTAGTACTGAATACAAAAAAAACCCCAACATATTGTCATATCAAAATTAGTCACATTCTTTTCCCTCTGTATAATTATTAACACTACTGAAAAATTGAACAATCGAGTATTTGATTTGTTACTGGCTATTAATCTATTTTATTACGTCGACCCGTGTATATATGTACATACTAACGCTATCCCAGACATCTTTTTTCATAGCCGGGTCATATAAAAATGTATCTCACACAGCGAGCACGGACATTTTCAATATTCTACGTGACAGCATCTCTGGGCATTGTTATGTGTACTCATTTTTATGCTGAATAATTGTATAGACTGTTATAGGTTGGGGATCGCAAATGTTTACATGTTATGAACAAATGACAAGTTCTTGAGGGTGGGACAGACCTCGGGACCAACTCTGATAGCATGGTTGTGTTCTTTCCAATCAAAGCAATTGCATGTCTAGAGGGGTCGTTATCTCAAACGTTTCAATATCATAACCCAGGAATTTTCTACATATGGGCGGTAGCAGAACCAAAGGCTAATTTGCCGGTTGCATATCTGTATTGGAGCTGTTATATGCTCGGCAGTAATACGTATGGTGATATATGGGGATATCAACGGTGTAAAGTTGTGACTTAGAGACTAAAATCCTGGGTACGGGAAAGACCCTATTGTAAATTCTGATATAATGATTGTGTTTGTCTCTTTATGCCCAGAAATTGAAAGTCTCAATGAGTGGGACCATACCCCCTAGCCATCCTGGTAGCATATGTGTATTAGTCTCTTTTTTCTCATCAATTGTTTATATGGGTATACGGTAATCCACATTCAAGAGAAGTCGCGAAATGATATCCCTTCGGCCCCGCCTCTCAGTCCAATTTGCAACAGCCCCTCCTTTCAAACAAGTTTAAATCCCCATCACCTGTGAATGCTTCCATTTAAATATGGTTAATGTTCATCTCTAAGTTCCAGAGATAAGGTCACTTTGAGCAGATAACAAAATAACCCCCTTTTTTACCCAGCCTCCTTATAATAAATAAAAATAACTCGAGATTCTTATATACCGCTTTATCATAACCTAGTTTGTAGGTCGTCTCAAAGCGATTCACAAATTATTATCCATGGCTGTAGGGCCTTTGCAACCAGCCAACATCTTTCTCAACCCCCTGGGGAGCATACAGCCGATGCAAGCTATTTCTGCGCTCACAGCTAGCATTCTACAATTCTAGCACTGCCCAACCACGTACTCGTTTACAACTGAATAGACTGGAACAAGCGGAGTAAAGTATCTTGCTCAAAGATACAACACAGTGCTGTGCCGTGACTCAAACCCGCAACCCTTCGTTCACGAGCCCGGCGTCCTACCGCTAGACTACCGTGTCTCCTTTAGAGGGATATGGAAGCTGGTAGAGGTACATGTATGTCCTGCCATCTGTACAATTTGATAAACCTGCCACCTGAAACTGCTTCCAAACAAACATGTTTGGTACCCATTTCTTAGTTCATGAGGAAAAGTCGGTTAAATCAATAAAGTTTAATCATATTTTTCGCCGAGCCCCTGAGCCCCTGAATATCGACCCTTGCTTTTGTACATCTTGCAATCGACCTCATAATAATGTTTCCGAGCAAATATAGTTTATATCCATTTAATATTTCGTTTAAAGGGATAAGGCAAAAATACCCCCTTTTGGCCTCGCCCCGTTGGTTAGAGATCTACTTGTTTATTTCTGAATCCCAATCACCAATAGGTTAGTACTGCTGTACGAGTAGTCATTTCTTTATTTGTTTTTTTGACTTCTCTTGCTTCTTAAACATTGATACAATTATTTAAAGCATAACAATATATATTTCACTTATTAGTTATTGAAGCAAGACTTCCCTTCAACATACTTTTCAATATTCAGTGTTAGGTAATGATAATGCCTAATTAATTGTTTTAAACTATTGTTATTTGATAACAATGAACCTTCGATAATTATCCACTGTTTCAAGATTCCTTACTTTTTCTGCTTCGCAGTCGGGATTGTCACAGACATCTTTCATATTTTCTACGGAAGACCATTCCTGATATCACAAATTGAAACACAGGATTACAATTGAACGAAATGTTGGTAGAATTAATAGATATACTCAATAAAAAAATTTGAAAGCTTCCAACTTGTGTTTCAAAAGGAAACAGTAAAATAGAACGAAAGACATCGTGTATCTGCACACAAAATGCAGACGATACTTGGTTCAGTGTAAGGTAGAGTGTTTACTGCCTCGAATATGGCACATCTCACCCTTTTTTCTCTCGTTATATATTTATATATATATGTGTGTGTACAATGTATATAATCTAACCGTTTACAAGCTACAGCATATTTTATATAAGTAACTTTTGTTTGTATATGTTTTTTGTATTGTATTATTGTTTCATGCTGACTGTTTTTCTCTGTTTTATGTTATGATATGTAAATATTCATGTTCCTGTCTTGATAAACGGGCAGATCGCCCTGAAAATTTGACAAATTTCTTTGTCTGCACTGTCATTATTACTTCTTTGCCCATCTATCTATTTAGTAATATGCATTTGTTCGGATCCAGTGCCAATTTTGGATCATATATGTCTCTTTTCCCTGTGTGTAAGATAGAGTTGTCCAAGGTAAGAAAGGGGTGTAAGAAAATTCTATCTTGCACCCCTTTCCATGTGACGTGACGTCACAATGGCTCAGCAATGCCATGACATCACGAACTCGGAAAGGTCCGATGCCGCTATGCAGAAAAGGCAACGTCATGAAATTAAAACCTTTGATATACATATTAACGCACACTTTAGAAAGATTAACGACATTTTCTGTGCAAACTATGTTTGCCATATGTGGTATGCTTCATATCGCTGACAAATAATTTTCGTCAAAAAAATCTCGGGAGAAATTTGATATTTTCAAAATGGTTACCAGTCCAAATGCATTTCCATGGTTTCTGAGCTTATTCTGGTAGTTTGAATGAGAGAAAAATACTATTTTATGTCCAAGAGTGTAGAATAGGGACATTCCGCCCTCAGATTTTCCTCGGGTTTTTCCAAATATAAAACAAACCTCGGGAGGTATTTGCCTATCCAACATCCCTGAGCATGAAAGAATCTTATAATATTTATTTTAATAGCGGTTAATTTATCCTTACCGACGAAGAAATACTTTAAAAAGAAAACAAATCTTAACATGTCATTAGCGCCTTCGTCTCACCAAGAAGCTTCTTCAGAGTCTGAATAATTTCCTGGATTACATGAAAGCGCTATTCACATGTTGTTGAGATGTTTTCTTTTCACATATAGATAGCATATACTTATTTATTGCCTTCAAATGGTGTAGTAAACATACTTGATTCAAGGTGCTGGTAGTTGACATTGACCAATGACACAAAATCAATGATACCAGACAGACCAAATTGTCAGACCAGTCCGATCAGAAAAGGCCAGACCGCAAAAGATCATGTGTAAATGTATGCTTGTACACCAAATATCAAATATGCACCGCTTTTAATTCTTTCAACAGCAACACAATGTCACAATGGATTGGTATTCTTAATAATTCAATAATAGCTGTTATCACTTATTAGTCGTTTCGAGTCAAAATATAGCTAAAGCAGATCGTATGACAAATATCTATTCACCAACGCATGATACAACTTTGCATTTTAACACGTCGCATTCTGCTGGTTGTTTTGTGCCGAAACACAGGGACAACAAACACATAATTTACAAACAACACTTGATGCAAGGTGCTGGTAGTTGGCCATGCGTTATTTTGTGCGGGGCCGACGCGGAAAATGGATGTCATTGATAAATTGTTCAGTAACATAACTAAAAGGAAAATTAGACAGCTTTTTAAATGTTAAATTTTGACTCGTGTGAAGGAAGTTAAAATCAGGCCCCGGTTGCTCAAAGGTTCGTTAGAGATAGCTAGTAGTTAGGGAAAATTTTGAAATATGAATAAACAAAATCAAGAACATCTGGTATCAATTCACTGCTATAGATCGGATGGGACAGATCAGATTGATCTGGTTTTGAAGATTTGTTTGCTAGTTAAAATCACCCTACCTTTGGCAAACTGGGCCATCCAGCCGACATCTACCATTCAAAAAGCAACGAAAATGAACACCTTTCTGTTTCGTTGTTGTGATACTCCGCTAAAAGCGTTCGCTGATCGAAAGGAGATAAATAGTGTCCAGCATTTTTACAGTTTTACAGCAAACCGACTCTCTAAATCAATGCTGTCATTGAAAGTTGAACACCTGACATAAACCTCTTTTTGGAAGGCTGTGACGATACGATAAAAAAGCTAAATTAGATGAAGGTTGTATTTCTATATCACTTTGATTAGATCAAATCACATTAAGGCCATTTTGAATATTCGCTTCTGGGAGAGTTAGCCCACATTTTCACGAGGTTCATCCCAGCTCATTTTAATCAGCACCCTCAAATTTACCAAATCAACTTTCAAATGGTCCGGGAAAATGGTCACGGGACCCCATTGTGGGAACTCTACTATTAGATTTTTTTTATTTTTTTTAATATAATATCTGAACATTGAGAGAGATAAATGTCCCCTAACTCGTGATGGTTGATAATCATGCTTATCTAACTCTCGTAAATTATGTTTTATACTGAAAAAGACACTCGGTAAACTTCGTGTCTTTATACAATTTGAAAATTAACCAACTCGAGTAAGATAAACATGATAACCAACTATCACTCGTTGGAGAACTTTTATTTCCACAATGCTAATGTTTACATTTAATTTTAAAATATCATACCATTTTTTCTTCACCGTAGTTATGCAGGTACTCTCTTACGATCTTGGTTGGAATTTCATGTGTACAATGAAACGTATATTTAATTAAGCCTTTACAAATCATTGTTCTTCTTCTTTCAGATACCTTCGCTGCTGCACAGTCGTTACACATGCGATGACTACATGCCCGAAACTCAACGACAGCCTGAAAAAATCCGGTTAAAAGTTGTGTGAAAGGTTTGGGAGGAAATTTAGCAGAAAATGAAGGGGTTTTAGGGATCTCGCTATATGTCTTTTTAAAATGATGAAAAAATACATCAACACAGGTTTGTAGGCGACTGGATTAAAGAAATTAAAGCGAATGTGATAGGTGAAATGTTTACTGTGACTGAAAAATGTGTTTCGCGTTAAAAACGTTCGAACAGCTTAAATAAGAAAGGTTGAAAGAAAACGAATTTACGCAAAATATATCAAGATAGTCGCAAAGCTTCTACTTCAAATTCCATCAAAAAAGATAACATTTTAAATGGCAACGTTTCCGGTCATTCCTATCAGGTTCCAACTTCAGACTGACAAAAATTAAAATAAATACACTTCTGCTGCATAATATCTGCATCATTTCAGACACCTTATTTGAACGGGAGAACATCCGAAGATTTAGATAGCATTAACACAGTTCATGGGCATATATATATATATATATATTACAGGCACTAAATTTGAAATCTACCACATGAATGTATATCTCTTTCTTAATTGAATATGATATTAAAAAAACATTCTATGAACTACGAAGCTAGGTAAAAAAGCTGTTATAAATCATTATAGCAAAGTCACAGAAAGGAAACTAAATAATCTAGACATTTGAACCAGAGGAAACTGTATTGTCATCAAAAACATTACCGTCTTTGAGCATTTAGCTTGGCTACACTTTCCCCAACGTGGCTTCTCTTTGAGATAAGTAGCGGATTTTTTCTGAAAATATATTTGTAATAAAGTTTCATATGATTCTGTTTTCTCACTCCTCTAATGTGTTATTTTAACATGCAATGTACATTAGTTGTGCATCCTTCCATAGCAATGGAAAGAGAATGCAATACGTGTTCAGAAACTCTTATTCAATCCGGTTATACTAAGCTGACCATCATGTGATTTCACGTGTGATTTCACCAATCTGATTGCAACATCAGAGACTTAACAATACGTTTTCATGAACTGACGAAGACGCATATAATAGCTAAATAATGCATAACTATTCTATTATAATGGAATAATGCATAACTATTCTATTATAATGGAATGTGTTTGTTAAGTATATTTTTGCAAATGGTGTTGTGCTCCTTAAGCAGGCGTTCCTATTTCATGCAGCAAACTAACAGGAACCCATGCAAGGGTTTATTAAGTTTGTCAGCAATAGTTATGCGTGGTATAGGACCATACCACCAATTACATGACTATCGATATTTTCTCTGCATTAACTTCATAAAACTTTCTATTACATGTAATCAAAGCTTAATTCTGAAAATGATTACACTTGAACTATTATAATTAAAAACCAGTTCGGGTAAGTACGTCATAGTGTTAAAGTAGTCGAGGATATCTCATATCGTGGCAATAAATCCAATCTTTGACGTACATTCCAAAATGATGTCTGACTGATATAACATTTGCAATTTACCAGAAATACCAACCATATATAAATCCTACCTTTTCCCGCAAAAATGTTTTTTTACAACATATGCATTTAAAAAGTTTGTTTAAAATGTATCATATGTTTTTACTACTGAACATTTTAGAAATAGATATTTCAACAGTACTTTTTAGGACAAAATCATGTAGCACAGCAGAATTGTACATTATGTTTCTTAATCATTTCTATTCCGACTTGGGGAACGTAATCATTAGTTTGCATGCGTCAACATAGCTAGATGGCACACGAGAAAAAAGTTACATATGCTAAATACCTTTATTATAAACGTTAAGTTGTAATTTCTATAACTTTTTAACTAACTTGATACAGATATATGTGTTTATCAACCCTCACTTATTACAGAACAGTAATGAAATATACACACTTTAAATCATGCTCAGTAGGCGATATTCATTATGCAAAATACTTGTAGAATATCATCAAAGCTATAGTTAACTTAATCAGTTTTCCCGAAGGAGGTATTTGAAAACAAATTGGAATAAGATATTATTTCGATGCTAATACAAACGAGGGCTCGCAACAATCGTCTTACTTAAAAATGTCGTTTACCGTGTGCATACCTTAATGTTCATGATGTACTCTTTTAGAGGCTGCATTGGAATTTCTGTTTTACAAACATTCCAAAATCCAATGCCACAAACCGCTTTTTCTGTTTCTTCAGGCATCTCAAGCAAACAGTCAATACACTTTCGGTGACAGCAGTCACAAAACGTAACGACAGCCTACAAACCAAATGAAAGTGTCAAAATTGCAAAGTACAATATCGTTTTAGTACTATAGAGGTACGTTATAAGAAGCGTATTTTCTATGAAATTGCTAGACAAACCTCAACCACTTAGAACAGTGTACATGTAGGTTCAAACGACATAGCTCTTTTCATGGCTGCCTCACTACAAACTGTTTTATATTGATTATCAAATAAAAGGGGTAGCTATCGATCCGATGCATCAAATACTCTTGAAGCAATATGGATGAGAGCTACACTTTTATCAAAATCATTACAGAAAAAAGGCATGTCCTAAGTGTACGAAAACATCCATTCTGCGATCAGTAGGCTAGATGGCATGATATTTATTTTTTTACCAAAGTTTCTTTATTCTAGTGTTTACTTAAACTTCACTCTTACAGACCAGTATAAATAGTTCGATATCCATTACCATCTTGAACACATGCTTGGAGTAATCAGAAACATCCAGTACAATTGTAATCTAAATCAGCGATATTAAGACTGTATTCTGTCAAAGAAGATTGATAATTCCTGACATTTTACAACTTCTGAAACCATTAGCAAATCAACATCTTTTTAATATCATCATTAATATGTAGTTGCTCCCGAGGAAGTACTAAAGCCATGGAGAAATTTTAGACAGTGTACTAAGTAAAATATGCTGATTGGCCAGTCAAGATACATACACTGTCTGTTCTATTTATTTCCCTCCTAGTGATTGCTTTAACTGTGACCAACTTAATAATATCGTGTTCCAACTTCCAACTCCTTTCGTAATACTGGGAGGTTGTAATGGCCACAATAGCCAAACACAGACGAAAGAGGAAGATGTATTGAAGAGTTCATAAATAAAAACAAGTTGTATTTGTTTAACAATAACGTCCCTACAAACCTACATCCTGCCTCTGGCTCGCTTACCCACTTCGACCTATTCTTTTGCCATCCTTCAATTCTACTTGATTATGACTGGAAGGTCAACGATGATCTATGTTGAAGTGATCACTTTCCCATCTTTTTAAAAAAACATAGGGTCCCCCATTTAGGAACCTCTACCTCGATGGAATATACACAGAGCAGATTGGGTGCAATTTCAACACATGTGCACCGAGGAGCTTACTGAGGAACATTTCATGAACATTGACGACCCAATCAAAACCTTTACTGAAACACTAACTTTTATTGCCCAAAAGACAATACCAAAATCTGTTTAGACCATCATAAAAATTAGGGACGACTGGGTCAAGTTAAGCCCTTTTTCATTAAAGTCGCTCTGAGCAGTATGGCATTTGTTTCTGGAAAACACGTCTGTATTTGAAGAATTATTTAACTTTACCTGTCGGAAGATTTGATGGCCGAATGAGCCCCGCCTTGAGGTAAGTTCGAACAAGCAGTCGGATAAGTTCGGCCCACGTTGGAATCAGCTTAAGTATGACGTCATGAAGCATGTAACGTCAGACGATCCTGCCAATTTCACGACTTTTGATGTGTTGCATGGCCCACACTTGCCCGGTATCATGGGCTAAACCTATCCGGGCCTAAACTGATTTCTTCGCCATTTTTTTCGTGTGAATGCCAAACCAACAAAACTGCCAGTATCCTCAAAGTTGTACATATTACCTCAAGACCAAAAATATCAGGGGTGGCCGAACCTGCCTAGGTCTCCGATATGTAGAATTTTTGTATCACAGATGATTGGTAAAATGTATTCACAATATGATTTTTGCATCAATGACTCCATTTTATTCAAGTCAAAACTAAAGTAAATACTTGCTCTTGTGCGTAACTTAAGTGATGGGTCGGGTGGCACAGTCTGGATAGCGAGCTCGTCTTCACTAAGATGGCCGGGAATCGATCCCTAACACCTGCACAAATACGTGGGTTTTTTCACTGGATACTTCAGTTTTCTACCACATTAAGAATTAAACCATTAAACCCATTGCGCTTCCGTCAGACCACAAAAGAAATGGTTTAGATTAGTCGGGGGGAAAGTGTTCGTTTATTGCTATAAAATAAATAAAGTTCATATAATATATTGCACATTGCATTACTTTAATGTAACTGAGATGGTCGTTTCTATCGATATATATAGACTAAATTCCTGTTCCTGGATCCTGAAACATCGGGTCAAATTTCAAATTTTTTAGTCACCGAAGGGTGTCACAGGTAAGTATGGTAAATAAAATTTAACAATTTCTGTCTGTAACTGGTCATATATCGGCACGCGGTGTGAAAAAGAAATGCGTTGCTGAAAAGGCCGTTAAAACTCGTCCTGGTGGTCTTGAAAAATCAGTGTATACCTGATTGATCTCCCTCCAAGACTAGCAAATGTTTATTGTAAATTTAGAATTTGTAATGTAAAATTTCCGATTGAATGTGGTAGATGGAATAACATTCCAAGAGAAGATAGAAAATGTCAATAATGAAGAATTAATTTCACTTATAAAATTCCTTAAGCACATAATTGAGCGAATTAACACTGGCCATTAACACCATGATTTATATGTAAACTGTACTCTATATATGTATATAATTATCTACACTGTAACCAGTTTAGGAGAATAAAAACATCATTCCTTTGACAATATATCGGGATATGTATCGCAATATATTCATTCTGTATTGCAATATATCGTTATAAACTCTTGGTGTATTGCGACACCCCTAATGCTATATTTAATTTTGTTCTTCTATCTTCAATAGTCTAGATAATAGTGTATATAATCTATGAACGATGTTTCATGAATGTCAGTATAGCCTTTTACTCAAATCTATATTTTTTATCAAACTCTTCAAATATAGAAATAAATCTACAATTTTTACTTTAAATTATATACGTTTATATTCGGTTTCTTATACTTCCTTAGCAACAGATGTAGTCTCGCATTCCCCAGACTCTCGCCCTTTCCCAAAACTGCCACGAAACACAAGTAGAGATAAGCGTCTGGTTGAGCGAGACTACAACAGATGATAAAGTTGCATCTCACTCTCGAGAATACGACAAAGGAGAAAAACAACTTCGTATTTCGAATTTAAAAAATTCGCTGAATAAAACAGTAATCAAAAACCTTGAAGATTGTTTTCAGTTTATGTAGATGTCGGTGTATGTATTGAAACATATTTGTCTTTGGTTCAAGGGTATACTTCCGGTTTCCCCACTGGGCGACTAATTCCAGACCAAAACAAATAAGGGCAATGTGTAGCAAGGAAGAAACTCTGTTTACGCACGCATGTGTTACCATTGAAGAGCTAAGGACAAATGACCATCTCATCAGACTCGAGACATTCATACGAGAAGCTCGCGCCAAGAAGGAACACATTGTTGCTGTGTTCTTTGATCCTGAGAAGGTCTATGATACTACATGGCAGTATGGCATCATGAAAGATCTCCTCGACTTTGGTGTACGTGGAAACCTCCCCAATTTTAGATCTTATTTCCTATCAGATAGACACTTCAAGTCCGTGTTTGTTCAACTTTTTCTGAAACGGCTAAACAGGGAATGGGAATCCCACAGGGTGGAATCTTATTAGTCACCCTGTTTGGTCTTAAAATCAATGATATAGTCAAATGTTTGGGTCAGTCAACAGAAGGGTCGTTATTCGTGGATGACTTCTTGATCTGCTACAGATATAAGAACATGCACACGATAGAACGACAACTTCCATAGAGTTTAAACAAATTACAAATTTGGGCAGACGAAAACGGCTTCAAATTCTCTAAATCCAAAACTGTGTGCATGCATTTCTGTCAGAAACGAAAAGCACACAATAACCAAAATCTTACACTTGATGGCATTAAAGTTCCCGTTGTTGAACAAACCAAATTTCTCGGTCTCATTTATTATTCGAAACTCTCTTTCATACCACATATAAAGAATCTGAAAGATTAGTATTCCAAGATCAGTGTTCCAAGGCGTTCAACATTAAACGAATCCTCTCTCATACTGATTGGGGAGCGGACCGTGAAATGCTTTTCCGCCTAGCTATACAGATCACTTATTCGAACAAAACTCGAATATGGTTCTATGGTATACGGGTTGGAGCGCAGTTCTTACCTGCAGATGCTAGACCCAATCCATAACCAAGGGCTACGTCTAGACCTGTAAAAACCTGTATGTGGAAGCGAATGAACCATCCATTTATGACAGAAGGAAAAAACTGGCAATCAGTTTGCAGCTCAACTAAAATCAAACCCTAAAAGTTCTGCTTTCGACCAAATATTCAACTCAAAATACCAAAACATATTTACGCAAACCGCAAAACCTTCTGCCAACATTTGGTATCCGAATTTCAAATTTCCTGCAAGAACTCAATATAAAGTTGACTGACTTAGCTGAATTTAACATATCTGATGTTCCTCCATAGACCATACAAACACCTGGTTTTAACTTTACATTACATGAGCGAGGGAAATCCAGTGTAATGCCCGAAGAACACAAATCCTCCTTTCGGGAATGCATTTCGAAGTACCCTTCTCATACACAATTTTAAACCGATGGTTCCAAAGAAGGTGAGAAAATGGCAGCAGCCTGCTGTTCTGCTAATTCTTTAACTTCAGTTCGACTCCCAGACGGCGCCTCTATCTTTTCTGCCGAAGCATGCGCCATTAGTTTTGCCCTCGACCATATCGATGAACACCGCATTTAAAAGGCAATCATTTGTTCAGACTCTCTATCTGTCCTACAAAGTTTACAGTTACGATATCATAAAAACACACTCGTACAAAACCTTACTTTTCGCATATCTCGTATTTTAAAGAAATCTAAAATTACTTTACTATGGATTCCGAGCCATGTCGGAATTAAAGGCAACGAATTTGTTGACAGAGAAGAAAAATGCTTTAAATCTCCAACAAGCAAATATCAAACTTTAAAACCTATTATTCGTACAGCCATTCAAAATGAATGGCAGCAACGCTGGTCTCTCGAGACCAGTAACAAACTTTTTAAAGTACAACCGAAACAGAAAACATGTGTTCCCAGTCGGAAATATCGTAGAGAGGAAGTTGTCCTCGCTCGGCTCCGTACTGAACACACATATCCTACTCATTCGTATCTTTTAAAACGAGAAGATCCACCTACATGCCACGCATGTGACCACAGTTGTCGATGGACCGTTATACACACACAAACAAACAAATCTATACATTGATGAGAAAGAGAATTCGGAACACTTTAAAACTTTTTCCGTAGATTGATCACATCAATCCAACAATCTAAAGGCGAATTTGTTATCACAAAACCAGTTTCGGTTTATGGTTTAGGTTTAGAACTGGTTCAGCTTTGGTTTCAAAACTGGTTTTGGTTTACTACTGTTCAAACAAATGTCTGGTTTAACACAAAAAATGGCTTCAAAACAAATGTGTTCAGCACTAATACTTCAAATCAGAGACATATAAAGCTAGGGTATATATACGTCTCTGTTCAAATGTTTCTAAATGATGACGATGACACGGAAGGTATCCTCGTGTTATCAGTTTCCACGCATTTAAGAATCAGCCGTGATTACATATTCATATCGATAGAAAACTGTTGAAATGACTGTTACAAAAACATAAATCAGATTTCACCTGCCGGAAGGGGTCGTCATATGATTCCGTGCATCTATTTTGATTAAGTGTTCGAAGAAAGACTACTCAATATACTTTGCTTGGTACTTCAAGTATGATCTTTGTTTGTCAAATTAATTATCAAAACATTTTTTTCAAAATTGCACATTTTATATTGAATTTTCAATATTTCAACTAAAACAAATTCATATTATTTAATAAATTTATTTATTTAGTTATAATGGAAATCATTGTGCAGCAGAGATGGCCGTTTAATCAGTCAATATCTTGAAAAATTACTCTGCATTCGCTACATGCTACCATCACGCTTTCTATCGACGCCATCTTTGATTGGGAAACCAATAACAAAACCGCACCCAACAAATAAAAAACCTGTTTCAGTATAAAACTAGTTTTAAACTGGTTTTCATTAAAAAATGTAAAGTTAACGAAACGAAACTAGTTTTGTGATAACAAATTCGCCTTAAATGTGGCTACCAACATCACAGTGTTCAATAAAGGTAAAATCTGATTGTATAGATTTAGGTAAAAGGCGATTAAGATAGTGATCACCAAATCCAACTTCATATGTAGCTAGAATAAGGATGGCTGCCTGAAGCAAAAACCATCCTGTTTATACCCCATGAAATGCGCCTACTTCCCTAATCACGAGTCGTAGGACTGAAGCGGTTTTTTTTTACCAGAATAACAGCTGTATTGTATCGACTAATCAAGTTATGACACGGCTTATTACTAAAATTATACGATGACTTATGAAAAGTTCTTTACACAACCAATAAGATTTTCTATGTGACGTTTCGATGACTAGAAGGTTATGTACACTGTCACCTTCTTCAGACAAATGACAAGTGAAGCGTATGCATGTAGCAGTGTCATTATTTAATGACAGTAATATCTTTTACCTGTAAAGCTGGTTATTTTTAAACTTGATTCTTCATTAAGAGCAGAGTATTAGGTGCTGTGCTTTTACTATACAGTGTATCTATATACATGTACACTTTGCTTTATATCAAATGACACCTGTGCAAACCTGTTTGTCAAGGTTCATGGGTCAATCTATTTTTGTGTAAGATTGACCATGGGTCAGTGCGCACCCGCGCTTTTGGGGGCATTGTCACTCCCGTACAAGTTTATGGCCGTATCGGACGTGTTATGTAATTGTGCAGACTTAGTGCTTATTAGTGAGCTGGGAATTCTAAATTGTGAGTACTTTCATGAGATATTAGTTATTGTAAATTATTAATATCACATGTGATAACATTTTGATATAGTTCTGATGTAAACTATATACTTTATAAATTAATTGAAATTGTCCAATTCAATTAATATTGTTATTTGAAATTTGACTTTCCCAACATTTTGTGCTATTCGTTATTTTTATCCACAATGATTTTGGTTAACTTGATTAGTGGTTTACATCATGTCTATTATATTATACATTCTTGTTAACGTCCGATACTGGTACATCTTTAGTAATTGTCATTATTTTATTATTTGTAGCATTGTATGCGCAAGATTGGCTACTTGGTCACGTACTCACGTACTGGTTGTCTCCCTGGATTTAGACCCTCTTCGTCTATGAAGAGGTAGGTTTTGAAGTGATTCCGTTTTGTACAAATAGTTGTATTGTTGTTAAACTATTATTAATGTAACTGTATAATTTTAACTATGATACTTGTCAAATACTCTGAACCGCATTGGTTGTATGATAAGCGTTAAGCTCGGCTATTTAATTGGAGTAGTGATAACGCCTGAGTTATTAAGTATAAGTTTTGGTAGTATTTACATAGTGAAGTGTAAAGTTCGTAGCATGCGACAGGTGCGTTAACCTGTTGCGTTATTGTATATGGACGATTCCATTGTAATGTATAAGCTACTGTTGGTATTTAAATGTGGAATATTTAACTTATCAATGCTATTTATTGTTTTAGGGTTTAATATATACGGAATAAATCTGAATGGAAACAAAGATAGCGTTGGAGTGATTTATACAAAAAGACCCCTAGAATCAGACTGTTACATGCACACAAAGGTTTAAAATGTGTACGAGTTGTCCACAAAATCGATGTCGGTTCGGCTACGCTGTAAGCGTATGTACAATAGTTGTTATATATGTGTATTGGTTGTGTAAAAAGAACTGTTCATAATACATGCATACTTACCAATCTGAAGAAAACGTGTAGAAATTATACGATTACTGTTTCTGCGATAATGTTTTAAACGAATATTCCTTGACACTAAATGAAAATGGTAGAAATTTAAAATTTAAACTGTTCGAGTGTTTGTTCCAAAATGTGCATATCGCACCTTAAATAGGTTGAAACAGAACAGTTTTGCTTGTAAATCGAATCAGCATAAAATACTTCACATGCGATAAAGAATTATTTACACCTTTTAATGAATTACCTCTTTGCTACAATTCATCGTCGAACAGCCAATCGTGCTCGAGGTTTTGAAATGGATTTTCTGTTTAACCTGCAAACAAAGTTTAATAACATAGCTAGGATTGTGTGTGTGTGCATATACAAGTGTTTACTTTTTCATGATATATTTACATAATTACTGTTATTAAAACGTCATAAAATAGTTAATTATATCTAAATCATTGATAAATTACATGATACAATGATAGAAAGTTTCACTGAAATCCTATAACAAACCAATTATATTGAACTTGCTAAGAGATATAAATGAGTTATAAAATGAAAAAGCAGTCTACACGAAAGCCGATATTTTATGAAAGCTATGGCATTGTCAGTTACCATGTCATTTTATTATATCAGTATGCTAACATGTATTCTTTTCTTCATTTTGGAAACAGCTACCTTGATTTAGACTTCAATCACTCGAATGAGAAAGTACAATGTATATGTTTGTGTTCTCTATTTTTAGTATCATCGACATTCATCTTGCCTTCCAACATCTCTTAAAGTATTTTTCACTAATGATTAATACCTGAAGTTAAAAAGACCCTCTAATGTGTTATTACCTCATGAATGTTGAAAAAATAAATTTCATTCCTTAAATGACATCGACTTTTACTTCATAGCTTTCCATAGAACAAAAATGTCAATAACTCCCGTCAATAATGACAACACACATTTGAAAGAAGTACAGCTGTCAGAAACATGAATATCACCTGAATAAGAAATGTAATGTACATATTCCGTTTTCTTCATATCTTAATAGCGACCGCCACATTCTTTTTCCATACACCTCTAAAGCAACAGAGGCCAATCATAAATTATGTTCAACACATACACATGTGATGTTTGAAAGCAATCAAGGTATCAAAACTTGAGTTATGACCCCGAAGAATTTATGGACTGACAGATGGACGGGCAGACGGAGAAACAAAGATAATATTTTTGAGTTTAAAATAACAATAGGTCGTATCTTTCTCAACTCCCTTGGAAGCATACAGCCGCCGGTGCTGCTATTTCGGCGCTCACAGCTAGCATTCAACCAATCAATCACTGCCCTACCACGTACTCATTTACAGCTGAGTAGACTGGAACAAGTGGAGTAAATTATCTTGCTCAAAGATACAACACAGTGCCGTGACGTGACTCGAACCCGCAACTCTTCGGTCACGAGCCCGGCGTCCTACCACTAGACTACCGTGCCAACAACGATGTTGCTTCAGCAAGACGTCTATGTCGAAAATAGCTGATAAGATTTGTTGTCTCTTATATAAACATTATAATTTGAATTAATAATTTCCATACACATCTTTAGGGTTCACATTTGGTGTCGCATTCACTGCACATAACTGAATCTTTTTTTCTCGGGCGTGCTTTAATTAGTCAAACCATTTTTTTAGGATAATTATTTATAAATTTGTTCTTATCAGGCCTGTCCCTGTCCCCCAGAACCACTTCCTTCATACATATTACATAGAAACCCTTTGGACCAGGTATACTCAGTATCTTTTGGTTAAAAGAGTTTTAAAGATGTATCGATATTTCTCCTATTGAACATTACCCCTTTGGTCAAGGGGCATCGTTTCTGCTAAATTTAGGCTCTTCAACCCATGACAATTTAATACAAAAGTCACATAAAATGTATCTACGGTTATGGAAGCAGTAGATTGAAAAGAGGCTTTATCTCAGTTCACTTCAAGGAAGATATTTCATTAGTTTACAAACAATCTATTAATCTTTGTCCAGGAAATTTTCATACGACATTTTATTCAAATTTCTGCGTCTGCGGTGTAACCGGACGAGTTTCTTTTAATATGTTAAGTTGATGAACGGACCACAGACTAGGGACTCTGTGCTATGACCATAGCACACTAAGCTTGCTATGAATTAAAATGAAGAAATATTTTACCTCCTTTAATTTTTGACATTTATCCTGACTGCAAAAGCTTGAAGTTGGCATCTCTTTCAGATAAGTCTCGGATTTGTTCTAAAAAAACAGTTTATGGCAAATCATACACGTACATTTTGCGTCAAGTTTATTTATTGCACCTTTTTCGGCTAGGGATGCACAGCAACGTGCTTAAAGTGAGCCATTTGTTGTATGGTTGTGCATTTGTTGTGCCGATTGCAATTGTAAAATTAGCGGGTGTAATGCAAGGGAGAAGAGCTGTAAACCTAAGCCAGTAAACATGTATCGATACGGGAATGAAATCACATCATCCTAGCTTGAATTGAAGGCGGAAAAGATATGTTGCTAATTAACTAGGGGGAATTATGTCTTCAATTCTGATAAGCCGTGGAATGGCGTGTGTTTCGTTGATGGGAATATGAGCTCTCACAATGCATTCAGACCCGACTCAAATCACACATGTAGTTGCCAGGCGTTTTGCTCAGAAGGGCCAGATAATAACGTATAAGAGAGAAGAAGATACATCGTACGAAAATGGAGAGAAACTTTTTAATGGCGAATAAAAATAAATCAAATGGTATTAATGTACGGCTGCCGTTGCCATTGCGATATGTTTTAAACACATCTTAATTTCAATATTTAAGAAAAACATAAAGTGTTGGCCATTATTGTCACTAATAATTATGACAGTCATAACATCCTTTGACGACGAAAATTGCGAATAAGTATTGAATAAAACGACTTTTATGTCAATTCACATGCAAACGGATTAAACTAGCTACTAGTACAAGAATATTCGGAGAAAAACCATTTTACCCATTCTATCCAAAATCACAAACATGGTTACAATTTGCTGAATTGTTCTTAACTTTCTTCATGGAAATAGTTCAAATTAATAATTATTCAGTTTATCAGTTCTGATAGCATAAATGTTTGTTTATACATACATAATGTATAATAACACACTGGTAAGCTTTTCAGTTTCCAGTATTATTATTTTACCTTTGGTGAATGGTTTTTACATCTTTCTGTATCATGGGTAATATCCGAAGGAGTTAAAGTGAGTGAGGTACCTGGAATAGATATTAACTTTTAAAAGTGACATCGCATATAACAATTCGCCCAAGATGTGGACCATGCAAGATATTATGATTACAGAGTATAAACCGACTCAAAATATTAATCTGTTAAAAATATTATCTGTTTTGTGTGGCTGCTGGAAGCCGGGCCGAGACAAACCTAACAATTAGGGGATAACCCAACTATATTTTGAGATTTGCGGCGGTATATCGTGATTATACTGTCGCAAATATCTGTTTTGATTGCGACGCGTTATACCACTGCAAATCTCAAAAAACAATAGGGTTATCCCCTAATTCGAATTAATATACGCTAAAATTACAAAAAGGAACGACGATTTTGATATCTTTTTGAGCGTTTTCTTCAAAGCTCTGAGTCACTCTTGCGTGAACTGATGACGACAGGAATATTCAAAATGAGACAGAATTACATTGGCCTTTTGGGGTCACGCTGTTGATCGTGACGACATGAATAATCAATTTCATGATGTGTTTGGGTCAGTCGGGGCCATTGACTAAATAACCAATAGCAATCTGGGCTTCATATGTAAATGAGAAACTTGCGGACGGTATATCGCAATTACAGTAAAAATGCCATTCACAGGAAAATGTCATTCTTACCATACTTACCATCTTTCTCATTTAAGGTATTCTCAAGCATGTCAAAGTCTTTCTCTTCAGTCACTGATGTCGAAGGTGACATGGACGGAGTTTGTCTATCTTCCGGTGATCTTGCTGTCGTCTCTTTATCCCTGCTAGACGCTTCCCTGTTTAAGCTGAGTTTTCCTTGTGCTGCCTTTTCGTTCTTCTTTAAAACGATGTCGAAAATGAATATATATATACAGTAGAATATTAATCGGCTAGGTATACGCCTTCCTCTACTATAACAAGACTATTCGGTGTACAATAAGTATAAACATATCAAAACGCTCAAATAGAATTACGGGAATGTATTTAAGGACTTTAACCACTCTGCAAACTATCAAGAAATGTACTTTTAACGAAGTAAGTTTTTTTTTTACATACCAACATTAATTTTATATAATGAATGCATATATTGTGCTTCAAGGCTGGAACATTTGATCAAATACGGAAGCTTGCTTAAACTCTAAATTGTATTCTGTTCAGAGGTTACATATAACTGCATTTTGTCCAGAGAAGTTGAAAATTACTCGAAATGTTGAGCCGACACAATTTCGGCAATTGAATAAAGGGGCATAACTCCGTAAATTACAGTCAGATAATAGTAGTTATCAAAAATATCCGCAATACAACACGCTACATCTATTTGTGTCATGTTATAGACTGGAATGGGAGAAGACTTTATTTTGAAATAAATAATTTTAGTATCACATGGTGAGATCAGGATTAGGTATGCGATCATAACAGACAGTTACCACGAATTCTAGATATAGCAAAACAAATGGAACGATGTCATGAGCGTAATTGTTCTTGGTAAAATGTCCATTTATTTCATTTTCATTCCCCTCTTTGACGCTTTCAAATCTTATATTTATTGAAACACATGTCTTGTTTGTAGTTACCTCATAATAGTTTTAATTATTTGAATTGACACAATTTTTTCACGAAATATCACAAACCACGATATGGTTATTTGAAATAATAAAGTTTACATATTACATGTCCAATGAACACAACGAGCTAGCTGTTTTATGAATAAAACTATTAACGGCTTTTCGGAAATATAACAGATCTGTCATCTTTTTTAATAATAATCCGTGTTTAAACATTATTGAAAACTAATTTAAAACACAAACAATATCACTTTAATTTCGAAACATGTATCAATAGAATTAACTGTACATTACAGAATTTTGTAATAATTGAATACAACATAAATTATATATAGTGATTATATCATTACCTTTGTTCGAGGACTGTTATTGCTTTGAGTTCCATCGCTAACAGCTGAACCTGTCGAAGTTAGCAAGACAACAAGATATACGAAATATAATATCTTAACATGTGATGGTATAAAATACTGTATCATTTTATAATGGTCATTCACAATGACATTTTCTATTTCCTGCCACGGATTTTCTGTTCAGTTGTTCCTTATACATGTAGTAGATGAAGCCTTGGTAGAATTAATGGTTGTTTTGTACATCTTTGGTACAAACACTGAGTTATTAAATGCTCGCTTAGGAAAGGCCTATACTTATTCACAAACAAACCTATCTATCAAAATAAAATAAAAAAAATATAACTATATACTGTTAAATGCAATTGCTTAATTATTGTCTGGTGTCGGACACCATTATATCTTATCTTTATACAACTTACTAATTGTCTACGCTACATTCATGGCTGTAAACGCTATTTCTGCGTTGTTAAATTATATATGTGCCTTGTTGCCAAAGTATAAGTACATTGTATCTTACTATATGAAATACCGCAAATTTTAATTATAAACTAATTTACACGTATCAGATACCATCATTGCTTATCCTGACTCATAGTTGAACGTCCTTTTCATGTCTCTGACGTTAGATTATCAAGACCCTAGACCTCGTTGAACTTGAGAAGAAAATGTAGGTTTGTTTCCCAAAATAGCACCAATTAAAATTTGACCCTTACATAAAACCAAAAGTTGACCTTTGACACAAAAATGTTGTTGAAATTGTTTTTTTTATAGTTTTGGTTTACATAAAAAATCCAAAGATGCAATTGATTGCATCATGTCAAAATAAGTAATTGAAGTTATGAAAAAACGATTATGAAACCATAGTATTCGTCTTGGAATTTGAATCAAGTCAAAACTTATCAAAACTTTTGAAGTTTGTCCAGGTAAACATTAATATCAAGATCGGATGAAATCTGCTCTGCAGAACATCAGAATAAATGGTTTTAACACGTTGTCGGTTTCTTTTCAAAAAGAGTTAAATCACCGAGAACATGAAGACACCACATCCATCGTAATGAAATTCCTTTAAAAAAATGATATATTGGTAATCTCGTGATCTACAACAAATTCTTTTTGAGTTTTGACCATTTACATATTTTGACCTATGACATCATTGCGTCGATATTACATTTTTAAACTAATTTTATAATGCTGCAGGTGTACATCTCCTGACCATTACCTACAACATAGCCGGAAGACTGGAAATCGTTGTGCTGCCAATAAAAAATTAAGGTGGCCACAAAATCATTACAGAGGAATCATAATAAGAAACATAACAAAAACAAAAAGGTCTTTTTACAGTTTGGTGGAACGCCTTAATAAACAAACATAACAAAAACCAAGACATATCCGACTCTTACAGTAGGAAAATCTGGCTAGATAAATATGGCGATTACAATAGATTGATAAATATTTTGGCTGAAACTGATTGGTCACTGATTAATGTCGCGGATACAGACTCAGTATGTAGCTTGCTTAATAATCATGATTTGTTTTTGCTGATATTTCTTAAAAAATACTGGGGGTTATCTCTTAAAAAAAGTATGTATATTCCCATTTGGTCATTTTGTTTAAAACAAAAATATCCCTGTCCCTAATGATAATTCATGACTGATTGACAGCACTTCTAATTGTGTAAGAATGATAAATATTTAGCATTTCACTTATAGTAACGTAATTCTTATTTATCACATACCTGTTGAAGCAATTTTCAGACCATGAAATACAACGTTCTGTATTACACATGTGCAATACCGAATGTTGTATTTACCTACTAGCCGGAACTACTTTTTATGGGAATCCCCTTGTCTTTGCAAAAAATATATAAATTTATGAAATCATCGTATTGATCTCTACAAAAATGAAAGGTATGTGATACATGTAAATTTATTGCGCGGACGTATATATTCACTTCGGGAATATATTTGTCCGCGCAATAAACTCGTGCTTTCTGATTCGTTAGAAAAACACAAGTGTTTGGTCTGCATATATAGTTTCTTTGGCCATAGTGGCACATAACCTATGACATTATGAGGTTTAAGTTAATGTACAAGATTCCCGTTTTGAATTTTCAACATAGAACTTGGTAAAAGTATATGTAAGGAAAATGAAGAGCAAAGGTAAAAGATCACTCATTTGTAGATCAGATGATGATCATTTGATGGTGGGCGCCAAGATCTTTTGATGATATCTTCTTCTGTTTGATCCCTGTGAAAAACACATTGTCCGATATTCGCTTATGTAAATATGAAGCTACGAGAAAAATAATACATCCAAGGCATACAAAAATTGACTGTTACCTTGACCTCTAAAGCCAGGCGTTTTAGGCAGTTCCTCACCAGACAAACTCAGATCTCCTTTTTGGACACCTTTCCTTTCGAACACGTTTTCTTGAATTTTTACATCCAGTTTCTAAACAATGGCAAAAAGGAGAGATAAGTTTATAAACAAATAAATCCTTTTTAAATTAAATTACCTCTTGAGAAAATCAAACTTTGACTGTTAAAACCATCATAACTACGATTATTATTTTATTTATGTGTTTGGAAAATGCTCACTATACGAACGATGCTAAAAAAGGTGGAATTATTTTTATATTTACATAATCATTTATAATTTGCACAAATAAATGTAGCACATTTTAACTGTTTGATTTTGATAAAAATGTGGGGGGTTTTCTACAAGAAATGTATACGTCATTGATGTGTTTCTATTGCATATTACAACAGAAGTTTTATTGGATTAAGGATGTGCTTCTAATTTTAGTAGTACAATTCAAGCATGATCATATCTATGGCATTTCAATTTATAACTTGTAAACTAGATGGTATCAATTTTATCGGTGAGTGATGAAATACTTTTAACATTATATTTAAGAAATCATCATCGTGCGTGTATTATGGCTGAATATATACCGAGGATGAAAAAAATGAGGGAAAAAATAATTAACGAAGGTCGCTTGCAGACATGGTTCATTATTTTTCCAGCATATTCGAATCCCGAGTAATATCTATTCCACCACATTGTATACAAAAAGATGTTGATTATCTCTATTCTATCAAGTAAAATGTAACGAAACCCTTTAACGTGTCTACCTCAGCGTTGAAACGCTTTGATTAGCATGGTGGCCTAGATAATATGAGTATTTGTGTTTATTTGCGAGCGCTAGTATTTGTCACGTGGTGCCTTTTTGTTTTTATCATTTTGACTCTGTAGACAGTTGTCCTATTTTGTCCTTTTAATTTGAATATATTTTGGAAGATTTTTTTCTGTCGCCATTCGGTCGACAAACGATAAGCAATAGACACTGACTTCATGCATTATTCCAGATGTTTATTTCAATCAACAGAATCCATCAGTCTATCGACATCGCTCGTCAACACATGAAATCAGTATTTGACAGATTTACAAACACAATTTCAAGTCACATTCGCGGTAAGTTTAGCGGAACAGTCTGACCATGTGTGCTTGACAGGTTTAAAGTAGATCTAGAGGTTAAATATATCTTTTTCTTTGTTCACAAGCAAGCATATACAAAAAAACAAGAGGCCCATGGGCCTTAACGGTCACCTGATATACTTATACAGAGAGTTGATTTTGTTTTTAACATGAACAGAAATATTATTCAGTGACAAAAAACAATAAAACCACCTTATTCAATATCTAGCATACAGATTTAAGACTAAAAAGTATTTGAAACTAGCACCTCTGATTCTAAACAAGGAAAATGAAGAAATTTTAGCACACTGACTCCTTTGGGCCCCACCCTACAGCCCTTTGGGTAGGGCTGGCACAAAATTTTCAAAGTATCAAACTGTCAACCCAGGGTTATAATTCTAATCAAGTTATTAACATGTAATATTCAAAGTATCATTTGCCATTATAAACCATAATAAATTTTGCCCCCGCTTCCTTCCCCAGGGGGTAAACGTGATACCCTAGGGTCATAAACCTTACGACCCTTCCTTCTATTCAACCCTTTTTGGCCAAACCCATCAGCCCTGGGGGGTTCAGTCAGGGCTCATATGTGCATACCATCAAATTACTACCCAATACTGATAATGCTAACCTAAATTTAATTACCTCCAATGGCAATTAAACAAATGTTGGTCCAAAATGTGATTTCCCTATATAAACTATAGTAAAGTTTACCCCCTCCCCAGGGGGAAAACTGAGACCCCAGGGTCAAGAAATTCACAATTTTGGTAGAGCACCTTAAGACCCTTCCATCTATGAAGAGTGTTTGATTCTACCATATCTGGGTCTTGAGAAGAAGATTTTTGAAATTTCAGTCAATTTGACCCTTTTTGGCCCCGCCCCTCAGGCCCCTGGGGGCCGGGGACCAAACCGGCAACTCTTTTTGTTGACCTTTAGCCATGGAAGATTTCTGCAAAATTTCATTGAAATTGGTTCAGGGGTTTTGGAGAAGAAGTCGAAAATATAAATTGTTTACGGACGCACGACGGACGACGGACGACGACGGACAAAAGGTGATCGCAATAGGTAACTTGAGACTTTGTCTCAGGTGACCTAAAAATGCAGGTACCCTGATTCGACAAATGAAACCAGTCACACGACTCTCTTGTTTACAGCCACATTTGCGGGGGAGGTTTTTGAAGAGCGTTTGACTGTTGGAAAAAATACGCACGGGGATGGTCTATCGTATACATAATCCATTGTTATTTAACAATAAAAAAGTGTCGTTACATTGCAAACGTTGTAGAATCAATAAATTATCTTGCAGAAACTAAGCTGTATTATTTTTACCAATTGTCTAAGTTAACACACATTTTTGTTTTCTATAGTTTGATTTGTAATGTAATAACGCGATATAACAGAAGAGCATACGGGCTACACAGAAAGAAAAAACGTGTTTTCGTGTTCCAATTCGAAATTAAGAGATAATAGGGAAATCACACAATTATTATTTCATAATTTTGTTTTTAATCATTAAAGTGAGTACAAGAAGTGTGTAACTAGGAACAAAAAACTAACATCGCAATTTGCGTTCTTTGTTCTCAGTACAGTACAAAAAAGTTTAAGCAAATCCTTTGAACCCGAAAAGTATTATTAAACAAGCACTGCTGAGCGCAGCAAGACGATGTTTGCAGTTTCTAAACATGTAGCAAATGCCGGTGTCATACTTTTGTGCGATAGTTAATACATGTTCAGTATTTGATAATAAACACATATGTAATCAAGTGTGTGATAGTAAAAAGTATGTTGCATCAGTTTCATAGAAAAAACATAGGTAATACCTGTTTGTGATATTCAACACAAAGTTAAAACGTGAGGAAGGATCTGTAGATTTCGAGTTAATAATTATGTTGCTTTTGACTTCAATATTAAGCGAAACGTATTGATTGTTAAAAATGTCAGCATATACAAGATTGCCCCCTTATAAGGTAATAAAAATTATAATGAAAATTCTTGGGACCATTCAAATAGAGAACACAATGTTCTTTCTGAAATTATAAGAAAAATAGTTTCATTTAAAGACGGTCATGAAACCTGTCTTAGTAACATAGATATTTCTTATAAATTGCCCATCTACAACAGTTACCAAGGTAAAGCTTTTATTGACAAGATTGAACTTTTTACATGGTATTTAACAGTTTAAAATTTCATTTTTCTGTCTTTATGATGCCATGGTGTTTCAACACCACCTTGAATGACGATATGGAAGCAGGTGGTATCTGCTGACGTAGATTTGTGATATCCTTTTGTGTTATTTCCTCAAGCTTATATTACAACTACAAAAAACTCATCAAAGCGTAAATTCAAGCGTTATTTCAAAATTGTCATCAATATTTAACTTTACCTTTAAGTACATTTAACTTGTTTCAACAGTTGATCTCTTTTGGAGAATATGCATTTTCCGATAAGGTAGTAAACATCTTAATTTAAATTTATAATAGATCTCCAGGCGATGAATTTCAGTACCATTACACCATCTTATTGTATCATTGTTATTTTGCAGAAATTGATGATTTTACAAATTGACAACATATGGAATATTTCAAATAGATTCAGAATATGAAAATTTGATTGGAATCCGTGTGACAGGAAAAATATATGAATATGGAAAAACTACAAGAAGATATCTTAACAACGAGTATTTAGTACTTCCTTGTCAAGTCGATCCATAAATAGATGTATATTATCAATAAAAAAGAAAGAAATTGTCAAGTCGATCCGTAAGTAGATGCTGTCAAACTATATATTATTATATAAATATACAATCATACCTCTTCAGTTGAATTGGTTTTGTAGCATTGATTCAACTGATCTAATGGAATTGTTCCTTGACAATTATATACTGAACAAACGACAAACTGTCGGTCCCCATGTATCTGTGTAACTGGCATTGTGACTGATTCGTTAGAATCCAGTAGTCTTCTCACACATCCCTTGCAGTATGAATGGCCACAATCATCAATTTGAAGTAATGCCTTGGAATAGAAACACATAAATAGTCTATATTCAAACGACAATGTATCATATGACGAACCATTTTATGATCAAAATTAAGAAAAGTCAACAAGGTTAATGTGAGTGTGCGCCCGTGTGTGGGCAAAAGAATTATAATAACATTTTCGACAGAGTTTCGGAGCAGTCCGGTCCTTTTTATAACATAACACCTTACAAACAAATGGCATCCGATATATGAAACAAATGAAACCATGACATAATTCGTTTACCATGGACAAGTTTCTTACATAGTGAATTGACTCTATCAAGAGATTCCAAAGAAATAGTGGAGAAGTGTCTTAAAAGGGGTAGGCCGTTAATACCCAAGTCATTCAAAGTAAAAATATAAAATAAGGGTATGAAACAACATACGGTAACCGATTAATCTTGAGGTTTATATCAACCTGGTTTAAAATGCAATAAGTGGTCAGTGAAAACTTAGCGCATTTACTTTTATTATGGTAATGTATTTCTGTTAAATGTCTGAATTGCGGGGGTTTTCTGAACTTGCGAAAATGGTTCTGCAGTAAAGAGGAATCTACTTTAATAATCGATAAATATCATACTTTTGATGGTACACATACACAAATGTACATGTATATTAATAAATATCTAATCTAATATTTTGCGCACTGGACAGCGCTCTCGCTTGTTTAACCATGCATGCGGCAAGGGTTTGATTCCTCTATCGGACGTGAACATGTATGGAGTCACCTGCCTAATCACGTGGGTTTTCTCTGAGTACTCATGTGCCCTACTATATTAGGACTCCATTCGCGCTATGATCCGGCCAACAACAGTGATTAATTTAAGTTTCTGATATAATGATTGAAAAACAACTCCCTTGCCATTAACAGATTCTTCCTTTCCTTTATAATAAAAAGACATACCCTCATCTCTTACGAGTGTTAAAAGTCATTGCTTCAGTGACCTCAACAGGTTTAAGCAACAGTTGAAATAATAGGTTACTATATTAGAATGTTTCATCAATTGCCTCAATTTGTATTGCAGTATACAAATAATTATTTATTGAATTATGAACTTATTAACGCCCTTCCAAATGTCCATAACCAATTTCTTTGAAAAATAATATTATGAACTATTTTTCTGAATTTCTGATTTTCATCATAATAAAGTTTAGGAGGAATAATTATTAAGGGGAAATATCTTTTGGCCATTCATTGTGTCCGGATACATTTTCTAAGGGGAAATATTGTACCCGTAAACTAATCATATGATCAGTTTTTAGTACTCGCGTACTTATGCAATTGGGTTCATCTGTCTCACATGCCACTGAAACTAGGTCAAGCCTTTTCCCACCTGGGTAATTAACGAGGCACGTCCCGTATATCATTATAGCAATTCCATGGCGTACACTTACGTACGTTCTTTATTCCATGGCTGACGCTAGGCTGATACCTGTCCTTTAAAGATGACAGAGGAGCGATAATTGACATCAAAGCCGGTTAATTTCATCTATAAGCTGCCATGACATGCTTTTGCTGTACATCATATATTTACATGTACAATCCAAAAGATGACGCGCACAGAACCTTCGAAATCGTTCTGACATATTCCAGGGGTACAGGGGACGTAAGAAAACATTACACCTGGAATTTCGAAGATGTCCTTATAAATGCTACACCAAACAACTGTTAATTATGACCAGGATCTGATAAAGGATTGTGCATAGACCATGTGTAAACGCTATGTACTGTGTATTGCTACTAATAAAGACAATCTTCATATGACCGGGTTTGTCGTGTTGATTATGGAAATCTTCAACATAAAGATACTTAAGGACATCAGTTTTCCTTAAAATCTTACTAAACAAGTGAATAAAATTAAGTTTAATAAGGCTTAATATATTTTTCTTATTTTTGTCGGAATTTAGCTTCTCTCCTTGATGAATATATAGTTTGAGCCGGCGTGAATTACACCTGTCACTATTTGTCTTTGGTTTGGGTAATTGTATGCAAGTTATATGCTTTTCACACGTACCTTTTAATGGTTGTTAAGAAAACTCAAACCGGTATTCCAATATGTATTCACTTTATCTTAAACTCTTTATCCGGTAGTCTTAATATCCCGCGCTACATGTGCTACAAATTAACGAATTGGCTGATAAAAATGAGTGGGCTGGGTATGGAGATGGGTCAATTTTACATAACAAATACAGATTACCGTCATTTTGTCAACGATTGATTAAAAAGATGAATATGGGTGTCAATATTAAGCGAAACGTATTGATTGTTAAAAATGTCAGCATATACAAGATTGCCCCCTTATAAGGTAATAAAAATTATAATGAAAATTCTTGGGACCATTCAAATAGAGAACACAATGGTGTCCGGGGGGAAGAAGGGTGGGCTGTTAGGGATAACATTGAGAGAAATGTTTAAAATCATTCTTCTTCTGTATAGATGGAGAGATTTGGAACAAATTCGGTCGAAGCATCCTTGGGCAAAGTTTAAGCGGAGGCGTTGGCTGCCCTTGGGACCGATGGGTGGGGTCCATTATGGAAAACAAAGGGATCCATGTTTCTGTATGAATTAAGCGATATGAAATCAAATTTGATTGCAAACTTCACATTTAAAAACTGGGATTTGAAACAAATTTAGTGTATAGCATCCTTTGGTAAAGGTGACTCACTTATGTGTAAAGGTAGGTTATAAAATAAAAATATTTCTCATTCTGTATGAATAGAGGAATTTGAACCAAATTTGGTGTGGAGCATTCTTAGGCGAAGGGCACTCAATTTGCTATAACGACTAGTGTGATTATCTGTGGGCACAGGGTGGGGCCTAATAGATATTCATAGTGAAAACTGTTTAAATCCTTCTGCTTCCGTACCAATTGATTTTTTTTTAATCGAATTTGGTCTAAAGTATTTTAGAGGAAAGACAATCAACACTGTATGAAAATAGGGTGTGGCTCCCCTGGGGGCAGAGGGATGGGACTCAGTAGATGGAACATTGGGATAAATGTTTACAATCCTTTTTCTTATGTATTAGTGGAGGGATTTTGGTGTAAAGCATCCCTTGGCAAAGGGGACTGAATTTTGTATCTTTAACACAGGTTTTGGTCCCCGAGGGGCAAAACGGTGGGAAAGGAGAAATAGTGGTTAATCTTTAAAATATATCTTCTTTATTAAGAATGTTGGGATTTTAACCATCTTCAGATCAGAAAAAAATCCATCAGCAACATGGACATAATTTCATTTAAGTTGAGAGAGTGATTTCCCTGGGAGCAGAAGGACGTGGCCCGATAAGGTAAATAGAGGTAAATGTAAAAAATAGTTTTGCATACTGAAGAAGGGATCTAAATCAAAGATAGGATTCATGTTGTATTAACCACACCCCACCAAAATTGGAACAGATGGATGGGACCCAATAATGTAAGGGTGTTGCTGAGAGACAGGTAAAATATTTGGAAATATTTGTAGTATAATATTTGATGAGATTATTTTTCCATGATTGCTTAAAGGTGAACGAAACAGGCAATCTGGGCATTTTGTTAGTAAAACTGATAATTCATGCATTGCATAATGGTGTATGTTAACTTTGTTTGACTTTCTGCATCGATATAACGTACCTTAAAGCTGATGTCATTCCTATCTGAATAAGTTCATAGCATTTAAACGAGAAAGGGAAAATATTAATCGTAAATAAGTTAATATTGTTTACAATAAGCTCTTTTATTAGTTTGTGTTTACAGGCTATCAATGGATAGACGAAAACAACGTATATTGATTACGTCGTCCGCAAAGTACTACTTTTTCACAAAGAAATAGGAGTCATCTCTCAAACTTAGATACTTGGTAATCCGAGTATTATACTGGATTTTATAACAGATGAAGTTGAAATAATCCCGACAACTAGCAAAGCCCTTGACAGAACATAGTCTTATTAGCGCCATTAGTTTGAGAGAGAGTAAATGAGTCTGTAGGAAGCTCTGGGTCAACTAGACTGGCGTGCCATAGCACGCGCACGGGGGATTCAAAGCACGGCATTTCATTGATCAACATTAAAAGGATTGCGCCATTCATAGAAATATACTTTTTTCTTGTAAATAAAAATGACTCATATTTTGTATTATAAAAAAGTTTCTTTTTAATTTTAGAATTCAATTATAAAGGTCGGACAAGATAAGAAATTGGTCTATAGATGTATTTGCGGTTTATTCAGAGTGCATTTCGTTTTTTGGTCTACACATCGATAGACCAATTTCTTATCGTGTACAATCCTTAATTAAGCAATCACACTAGATTCTACAAACTGGATAGAAATTCTGTATTCGTTAAACTGTTCCGATAATTTTAAATGAACAAAACAAATTATATTTACGTGTACGTATCTGGACAACAATGATATTCAGAAGCGACTATCCTGTTATACTATTGATGCATTTGGTGTGAACTGGGAAATAATAATTAGATGATTTGGAAATCTTTACATACCTCCGTCTTAAACATTACAATGATTACCTCTTTCCAGCATAAACATGTACTGCAGCAACCATACTCCAGATCTTTAACGTACACTTTACGTGACGCCTACAAAATAAATGTACATCATTAATCAATGGCTTCTATTAAATAATCGGCTGTATTCCACTTGAATTTAATTATAAAAAAAATATATATCATAACATGTTGAATTTATGATTTCATTTAAAAAAAAATAACAAAGGTGTTTTTTTCTTAAATTATTTGAAAAATACTAGACATATGACAAATGTACCAAACTTAAAGAATAGTTCTAAAATCTACTAGAAGACTAGTTGAAATGTTTACGAAATAATATTGAAATAAAAACAATATATAAACAATGACTTTCCTTTTAATGCGAACACTTTTAAACACATTTAAAAAGTTATCGTTACATACATTTTCGTTAGCCAGCGAATAAATAGGTAATGGTTTACTATCACAAGGTTGATAGACGAAATTGTTAAACTAACTTTATAAATTGGATCGACCATATGAATGGGCAGCGAAACGTTGTGATATGAAATTGAATAACCTGTTAATGGCTTTGGTTAGCTATGAAATAAGATTTGTCCATGAAATGTATCGACAAACAAATAAAATCTGAATACGGCTATGATTTAAACTATGAATCGGCTTTAATTTTGACTCTATTATCCAGATTAATTTCTTGGTTTCATTATTGATGCATTCGGTTTAATAATATTTCAAACGGAAACGCAGGGAAAATGGGATAATTCATATGTATTTTGTTAATATATTGTTTGTTCATATTAACCCTGTACGACGTCAAATATTGACCTTGTAATTTCACACTTTAGAAACACAAAGAAAAAGAAAATATTATCAAACAAAATATACTTACAACAATTTTGAGATATTTAACAGGAAGAAGGTGTTTTGCGGAGAGTTTCGAACAGGTACATATCGCATACTCTTTCACCAATTCGGATCCATTGATTTTGTAATTATCTTTATTGATAACCATATCTGCGATGCACTCGATACACACACAGGTAAATTCAGAACAGGAAAGTGCAGCAAAAACCTGCAAAAAAAGGTCTGATATCTGTTATTTAACAATGATAATAGTAATAAATTAATGTATCTGCAAGAAATTTCAACAAATCAAATTAACACTTATTTAATGATTGACCTTCATTTTGACGGCGTATAGTATGAACGTAGTTGGCAAAGAACATAATTTATGGAGCGCGTCATAAAATATGTTCAAATGCCATACAAAGGAAACAAACAGTCGAATCGGGTTGCTACGATGGTAGCTACGGTACCTGTTGTTGCTAGGATAATTTAATTCCTGTGAATCTACATCGATATATGGGTAACTTTAGAAAATACGCAGTGAACAACACACTGTTTCTTCTTTTCATAGCTTTTTGATGTTTAATTCAGTAATATTAGTAGCACTTCTAATTTTGTATTCATTTATAACGGTCATTATGTACACGCATTGACACACTGCTCAGGTAGTGACGCGGTAGAACGTCGTAAAAGGAAGCCGATATTGTTAACTTCACCGTCAAAGAATTTTGAATGTGAATCCATGGAATAAGAAGTTTGCCAGCATCTCTTTATTGCTTAATCAGTCATAATGGATCCCGAATATGTTCCATATTTCTAGATGTTGGAGGAACCAAACAATAGCTGTCGTCGAACAGTTATCTCGCCTAAGCGTGAAAAGCACCATATTGGAAACAGGTATCAATCTGCCGAGCATTTTGTTCGTTGCATATACACTAACTAATACGCAGTCAAAGATTACAAGCTTAAGAAGGGAGAGATGTAAATATACTGAAATAACAAGAGAATACCGGAGTGTAATCAGAACCATAAAATTCAAACTCGATGAAACCAGGTAAAAAAGAAATAAATGATTTTTTTAAATATGACTATGAAAAAAGAACAAGGACATAAGTTTTCCGGAGGGGTACATCTACAACATTTCCAAGAAATGTTTCCACCTCAAAAATAAAACTAGATTAGTTACAAAGAAACCATCAGCTAATAATAACATTCGATATTTGTTTTCCAAAAGGAAATAGTCTAATACCAAATCAGATCCTGATGGAGATAATAAAATGTACCCGTAGTCTCTAGAATCCGCATATAAACATTCAACATTTATCTTTAAAATCGTGATATTCAGAACAAGCCAAGGTATTTTTCCTGATAAGCTTTTCGACAAATATAGATCTGAGAACAAAAATAAATAAGCCAAGAGAGTAGCACATGGATTGTTAGTATACATGGAACAGTCTGCTTGAAAATTTTAGCAAACGAAGAAAACAATGATATTGGCAACAAGGAAATCCACTATTTACACGATTTAATCCTCAGTATATTTTATCATAGCTTTTATCTTTCTTTCACATATCATTGTCCAAAAACAAAGATGTTCTGAAAGTTTTAAATGAGGTTAAGTAGATATAGAGTGAAAAAATCAATTCCTCTGATAAAAGAAAATATTCAGAAGAAATCATGTTTTCAAGTTAAAATATTTTATGGGTTCTCGAAAACCAACATTCTATCGATTTCACTTTTGGAGAATAATGTGTAACGCTACGACTGTAACTTTGCTTTAATTAACAATTTGAGGTTTGCATAATCGTTTCGTTGATGTTATCAGCATGCTAAGTTCTTGGTTTTGCCTTTAAGGTAATTAAATAAATCTTTGAATTTGAGTTTCATCTCGGATTTAAAGCTGCTTAGTCTTTTTTTAAATGACAGGCTTGAAAGATTTAAACCACTCTGAAAGTTACTCAATTGCTTGGCATAGTCTTCCACGGAATCAAGAAGTCTCTTAAAATTAACAAATTAATTGATTGTTTAATTATATAAATAACTAGGACCCTTAGCGAAATGCAGGCTACTTGTCAAATATAATCATCCTGAGCACCCAAACTGCATGTATTCCTAAGTTGGTTAAAGGTGTGTTTTTAATATTTGACGCCTGCAGCCTTCAAAGTGCATACACGTGTTATTCATTTGAACAAACTTAAAAACTTTCATCCAAGTATGTTAATGGCTTTATAATCATAGGCCTCTTAACTATTCAGAAAGAAAATGTTTCAAAATGTTTCAACACAAATGATGATAATAATAATATACAACATTTAATAGCGCCCTATATAATTTGTAAAATTACTCTACGGCGCTTTACAACACATGCATTATATTATCAATACTATAAATAAAGTAGATATAAAGGCATACAAATCAGCATTATACATTAAGTAACGAGACATTTATCTCAATATCCATATAAATAAATATATATAGGGTGGCGTGTTCGTGACGTCTGTGCAAGAGCCTAAAATGCAGACGTAAAGAGGCGGGTCTTCATATCCTTCTTGAATTTATCCAGAGTTTCTGACATTATGAAACCAGATGGTAAGCTATTTTACAATGTTGCCGAAAGCCTTTTAAAGCATCGGTTTCCATAGGTCAATATGACACGTTTGACCTTGAAAGGAGGTCAAGGCTATCTTTCTGAAAATAGATATATCATTGCATGCCAGCATGCTTTTGCAAAGATCATAACCGTAGGAGTTTTGGTTACGCAGAAGATGTTTAAAAGTTATTACATATATGAAACCTTTGACCTTTTAAGTAGGTCAAGGCAATTTATTTCTGGAAACGTTTTAGCAATCATAATATGTTCCTGCTGGTCAAATATCCTTACTTGAGACTCCTGATATTTCAGAAAATGTTCTTTAAAGTTATATTTCACATTTGACCTCTATGACCTCCAAAAACTCCGGGTCATTTATTTGATAAAACACTCTCAATCCCAGTATGCTACTGGTTAAAAACAGCAACTTGGAATTCGTGGTTAAGGGGGAGCTTCTTAAATGTATTAAACACATTAACCCTTATAAACTTTAGGTAAATCAAGGTCAAGTCATACTACTGACCAAATGTCATCATCTTTGGCCTTTTGGTTATTCAAAAGATGTGGTTTGAAGTTTTATACATTTCTTACCCCTGTGACCTTGAACAATAATCAATGTAATTTATTTGAGGATACTTTATAACACTTAACTTAACAAGAGGCCTGTATCGCTCACCTGGACATCAAAGCAATCATGGCAAAATATTCTCCAAATAAGATCCAAAAGGATGGGCCAGACCCCAAGGACAATCCTTGTATCCTATCTGTATTAGATTTTTCATGCCCAGACATTTTATGTATGGTTATGGAGTGGGGATCTCAACTGTTTCCAAGGTGTGACTAAGAAACTAGGTATCTAGGGTTGTGGCCAGACCCCAGGATCAATTATAATATCATGACTGCATTCGTCTCTTTATGCCCAGCATTTGTATATACAGTTTTGGGGTGGGGATCTCAACCGTTTCAAAGTCATGACCCAGGGACTATGTCTCCAAGGGTGGTGCCAGACCCCTGGCCAATCCTGGAAGCATATCTGCATTCTTCTCTTCATTTTCAGCCATTGTATATATGGTTATAGGGTGGGGCTCTCAACCATTTCCAAGCAATAATCTATTTTTGGACTTCCCCTTTAGCCAAGGGGGTCAGCCCCACTACTTGTACAATTTGAATCCCTGCCTCCCATGAATGCTTCCAACCAAATATGATTGATATCTAGTTCACTGTTCTACAGAAGAAGTCGTTTGTAGCAATATAGCGAAATTACCCCCTTTTGGCCCCGCCTCTTAGCCCCCTGGGGGGTCAGCCCCACGATTTGTACAATTTTGAATCCCCACCACCTAGAGATGCTGCCAGTTAAATATGGTTGATATCAATCACATAGTTTCAGAGAAGTAGTCGCTTAAAGCAATATAGCCTAATTGCCCCCTTTTAGCCTCACCCCTCAGCCCCCTGGGGGTCAGCGGCACCAGTTGTACAACTTTTAATCCCTGCATCCCATGATCGCTTTTGATCAAATATGATTGATATCCAGTGCATTGTTCTACAGAAGAAGTCGTTTGTAGCAATATAGCCAAATTGCCCCCTTTTGGCCCCGCCCCTCAACCCCCTGGGGGGTCAGCCCCACGATTTGTACAATATTGAATCCCCACCACCTAGGGATGCTGCCAGTCAAATATGGTTGATATCCATCACTGAGTTTCAGAGAAGAAGTCGCTTAAAACAATATAACCTAATTCCCTCCTTTTGGCCCCGCCCCTCAACCCCCTGGGGGGTCAGCCCAACGATTTGTACAATTTGAATCCCTACCACCTAGGGATGCTTCCAGTCCAATATGGTTGATATCCATTTCATAGTTCCAGAGAAGTCGTGGCGTAAAGCAATATAGCCAAATTACTCCCTTTTGGCCACGCCTCTTAGCCACCTGGGGGGTCAGTCCCACCAGTTGTTCAATTTTTAATCCCTGCATCCCATGTTAGCTTTTGATCAAATATGATTGATATCCAGTGCATTGTTCTACAGAAGAAGTCGTTTGTAGCAATATAGCCAAATTGCCACCTTTTGGCCCCGCCTCTCAGCCCCCTGGGGGGGGGGGTCAGCCCCACGATTTGTACAATTTTGAATCCCCACCACCTAGGGATGCTGCCAGTCAAATATGGTTGATATCCATCACTGAGTTTCAGAGTAGAAGTTGCTTAAAACAATCTAGCCTAATTCCCTCCTTTTGGCCCCGCCCTCAGCCCCCTGGGGGGTCAGCCCCACGTTTTGTACAATTTGAATCCCCACCACCTAGGGATACTGCCAGTCAAATATGGTTGGTATCCATCACTTAGTTTCAGAGAAGAAATCGCTTAAAGAAATATAGCCTAATTGCCCCCTTTTGGTCCCGTCCCTCAGCCCCCTGGGGGGTCAGCCCCACGATTTGTACAATTTTGAATCCCCACCACCTAGGAATGCTGCCAGTCAAATATGGTTGATATCAATTACTTAGTTTCAGAGAGGAAGTCGCTTAAAGCAATATAGCCAAATTGCCCCCTTTTTGCCCACCCCTCAGCCCCCTGGGGGGTCAGCCCCACCAGTTGTCAGTTTTTAATCCCTGCATCCCATGATTGCTTTTGATCAAATATGATTGATATCAAGTGCATTGTTCTACAGAAGAAGTCGGTTGTAGCAATATAGCCAAATTGCCCCCTTTTGGCCCCGCGCCTCAGCCCCCTAGGGGGTCAGCCCCACGATTTGTACAATTTTGAATCACCACCACCTAGGGATGCTTCCAGTTCAATATGGTTGATATCCATCTCATAGTTCCAGAGAAGTCGTCGCGTAAAGCAATATAGCCAAATTACCCCCTTTTGGCCCCGCCCCTCAGCCCCCTGGGGGATCGGTCACACCATTTGCACAATTTTTAATCCCTGCCTCCCATGAATGCTTTTGATCAAATATTATAGATATCCAGTGCGGATTCTACAGAAGAAGTTGTTTGTAGCAATATAGCCAATTTGCCCCCTTTGGCCCCGCCCCTCAGCCCCACCATTTGTGCAATTTTAAATCACCACCACCTGGGGATGCATCCAGTCCAATACGGTTGATATCCATCTCATAGTACCAGAGAAGAAGTCGCTTAAAGCAATATAGCCAAATTACTCCTTTTGGCCCCGCCCCTCAGCCCCCTGGAGGGTCACCCCAACCATTTGTACAATTTGGAATCCCCACCACCTAGGGATGCTTCCAGTCAAATGTAGTTAAATTCCAATCAGTGGTTAAGAAGAAAAAGTCGTTTAAAGCAATTGTTGATGTACAGACGACGGACGACGGACGCCATGGTATGGTTCTTCGGACCAGGTGAGCTAATAAATACAGTTGTTGGATATCACAACGTTACATGATGTGCGTTGTTCGCACAATGTTCGCACGGTGTGTTCACGGAAAGCCCACTATTAAAAACTGTGCACACCTGTGCGACAGGTAATGCACAATCGTTTGATAGGTGTTACGGTTGTTAGGTATGAAGGAATGGTATGTGAATAAATATGTTTCTTGATTAAACTAGAGAAACTATAAGCAAACTCCCAAAGATATACCCGCGCTTGTGGTTACACTTAGTCCTGGAGCAGAAATGGAATTTTCAAGTTCAAGAAAAGAAACTGAAATAAAAAAAAAATGTATGCACATCATCCTTTGATGTAGTTTCACTGTCCAAAGTTACAAAAGAAAATCAAACAAACAAGTAAGGAGTTTCGCTTACAAGATTTCTTGAGCAGAAATTTGAGGTTTCAAGGGCAAAAACTCCTGGAAAAATTAGTGAATTGTAAACTCTTTTCTTCGTGTACATCAGTCTATGAGGTAGCTTCTCTTTGTCAAGATCCATACAAATCAAGTAAACAGTTATGTAGGAGTTACGCTTACAAGGTTTCTGGAGCAGAAATTAGTTTCAAGGTCCATAATTCGAGGGAAAATGATAGAATCTCTAATTGCTCACTTACTGTACAAAGGAGCTCAAGTTAAAATGCAAACATTTCCTTGCCCATAGAAAAACAAGTAAAAATGATTATAAATACATTTTTGAGAAATTCGTTGGAGATGTCTAATAAGATGCTAACTACTAGTCTAAGGCAGCCTAGCAAATTCCCCCACGCCTGTAGAGCCCACTATGAAAATCTGTGCACACCTGTGCGACAGGTAATGCACACTCGTTCGATAGGTGTTACGGTTGTTAGGTATGAAGGAACAAGTTTTCGATTTTCTGTAAAAAGTGCTGTTTACAAACAAAATTACAAATAATGTGTGTAAAATGGATTCAAAAATGATTTCTTGTTATAAAAGATATGGGCTGTCAAATGTCAAAATCCATTAAATAATTCTTGTTGCTTGGGTAGCGTAAGGCTTACTTTTAGAATACGATAACAATGCATTAGAAGCTCACCTTGGACGAAGTGCTAGTGAGCTCATGGTATAGTGCAGCGTCCATCGCCCGTCAATTGTTTTCTTTGGAGAACTGCTTCTTAAATAATGAAAGACCAATGGTACTTGAGTTCTCCAAAGAAAATAATTGACGGACGATTGACGCTGCACTATACTATGAGCTCACTAGCACTTCGTCCAAGGTGAGCTTCTTTGTTTGCAAACAGCACTTTTACAGAAAATCGAAAACTTATTTCTTCCTCATCATTTAGAAAAGCATTGTTTGTCCTTCAAACATTAGTAATTTTTTAATCCTAAAACTGCTACTTTTCAGAGTTTCATGCCTTTCAGTCCAAAAGGTTTATATATTTGTTTTTCATTATCCAAGCCATGGGATGCTTGTTTGACGTATCGCGTAGGCAAAGGAGCACAAGTTAAAATGCAAACATTTCCTTGCCCATAGAAAAACAAGTAAAAATGACTATAAATACACTTTTGAGAAATTCGTTTGAGATGTCTAATCAGATGCTAACTACTAGTCTAAGGCAGCCTAGCAAATTCCCCCACGCCTGTATGCTGGAGAATATTGATTCTGATTTGTGTCCAGGCCGTTCTTCCAACGACCTTTTTTCATAGTGCCACCATACCTATATGGTGTAGCATAGACACTGCAACACTGATCCTAGATCATTTTATTTACCAACTGGGTAATCGAACCACACTCGTCTGCCGAACGCCGGAGTGTTAACCACTTAGGATAATTTCACTTATGCATGCAATTTCATCACAAAGTGAATACTTGAACGTTTATCCTGTTTCAAACTATTGGTAAAATAATTTTAGCACCAGCAACATTATTCGTTAAAATCGAAAGATTTCCTGTTAAGTGATTTGATAATTCGACATGCACATAGCTTTCCCTAAATTCAAACAAGATTCAAAAACTACTTGCCTTCTTTTGATGGAACGTGCACGTAGTAAAGAAAGGATCCTTTACTTGTGTATTTTCATTTTCACTTTCGATGAACTATGATAAAATAATAAAAGAAAGTTTAACAATACGGTACGCTGTGGAGTATATATTTAATATAATGGAATTTGTATTGTTTCCCTTTTAATTTGTTTTGTTAAGTAATATAATGAAGAACCAAGTGTATGTTTAAACTTCCCACCAGAAAGGAATTTTACTTTTTATGAACCAGATATTAATGAATTAGTTTTGAACAAAACATGAGCCTCTGCTTCTATAGCATCATATCTAATAGCAATTTAAACATAGACTACGTTAAAAACTATATCAAATAATTTTCATTGGTTAGTGAGAATATGACGTCATCGTGTTTGCATATTTTGTACCAGAATCATCGTTATACTTATTGTTAGCTTCTATGACGTCACAGTTAGATAAATTATTATCAACTAAGTTGCTTAAGTATTCAAAAAGTTTAACATTAACATGTACAATTACAAAATTGATTGTGGTGCTTCGTAAACACGTACAAAAGTACTTGTACACAGTTCGTCTTGGCGTTTGTAATAAGCTTTGATGTTAATACATGTATACATTTATAGCCTGAATAAGCACATAACAAACTTGTGAGAATGAAAGATAGAACATGATATTAACAAGATAATAATAAAGGATCTAATGAAGTTTTACTCAGTTGGATAGGTAGTGAAGTTTACACGACACCCTAATGTAATAATATATTAATTGTTTGTAAACCATCTAGCTCATTTGGTGATTTATGAATAGCTATATATATATTTATATTAACATTTTGATCATACGTTAAAGATACATCAGCAAATAGTGGTAAAACAACACTTAATTGGTAAGGCAATAGAGTCAAGTGCCTTTGTAGCACCACACACTATTCGCGCTGGTTAATTTTCTAAAGCTTATTTACATATTCCTTACTTAATTTTTCCCGGTCGACATCGGCATACTCTAAAATAGGTATTTTAAAGTAAAGTATAATATCTGCAAACCTTTTTCTATCAAGAATAGAACGTATTTATCATAGCACATGAATTTGGTGTGTGTTGTCACACACCGTCACAACATGTAGTCGGGAACTGCTCTCATATCCCAAAATATATTAGAATATGCGGAGGAAAATCATTTACGTGTGTTCAAGTAGAATTTCAGGATGCGGTTAGCGGTCGAAGGGAGATAACTCTCCCCAAAATTCACCACAATACCCTGTACTAGCTTTTTCTACCTCGCCCTATCTGTCTGACATTTACGCGACATTCTGCGGAATTTTCACACAGCGATGTATTTATGCGCGCTATAATGGCTTGAAATTGACAATCAGCATCATAAATATTTTATATTTTTGTTTTATGTATAGTTTTGATGTTATTAGATCCCTGATGTTGTAGTAAAATATAATCTGCACTAAATAGTACGTGGTCTTCTTTGCAATGACAGACTACATATTACGCGGACGCATTCAAACGCAGTTTTAGAAGTGAATAGGCCATATATATATTTTAGGCCCCAGACGGTATATTTGTAGACTTTAGCGAAATCGAATAGTTTTTCGGACTAAAAGGTCTAAATAATTTCCGGTAATTGACAGAGATCGGTTTTTCTCCAATGCTTGCCCGTAAAAGACAGGAATTGTCATGTGAAAAGATAGACTTGTCTTTCCCGAGGGAAAGATAGCCTATACGCGCTATGACGTCACTACGCACTTTTGCATACTTGACCTCTGACCTTTGATTGCATCGCTACTGTTTTGATTGCATTATGCATATGTGTATTGGCGTACATAAATGTAAACATGGCGGGAAATACGAACTGCCAAATGCCAAAGTTTTCAAGATAGGTGATATTGTGACAGTAGATGGAAAGAAAGGGAAAATGATAGACGTGTACAAACCCCTCGGAACATACTGTTTGTATGAAGTTTAATAATTGGGTGATGGTTCGATCGCTAGTGCTGCCCGGCATCAATTAATCAAAGGGATGGCAGACGACAAACTCAATTTTAATGAACTTGCTTTAAACTTTCTTTCTGAACTAGATGTTATTGAACAGAATAATATCTCCATTAATATCTCTACTGAATGCATACGTTGCCAGACTGCTTCGTCGGTTGCCGATACTTCACTGTTAGGCCTACACACGTGACTCCGGCTGGGGATAACTGTGCAGTCCATAGTCAAAACAAATAACGGGACAATTCATCACGATTTGTCAGTATGGATGACGATGACGTTAGAAAATGTGTTGAAGATAACGAAAACGAAAAAACTAGAAAGAAAACACTATGTCACATTATACTTCTACAAACATTTTTGACAGAACAAAACGAAGAGAGACATATTCAGGACATACCCTCTGAAGATCTTGACAATTACCTATAAACATGTTTTGTTTCGGTTCGACAGAGTTATGGTAGTGAATACCGACCAAGTTCTCTGAGGGTGATGCTAGGGTTGTATGAAAGGTATGTAAAAAGGCACAGATATGACGCCAGTACCATTTTTCTAAAACCCCAAAGCGTCTGAAATCCAAACCAAATGATTTAAAAAAGAAAGGTCTCAGAACAAACCAATGAATGCAGATCCTATCATCGTTTCCGAAAACGACATTTCATATGAACGAGGTCAACTTGGACGGGCAACACCGATGCAATGTTAAATACTTTGTGGTTTAATAATATGATACCCTATAGAATGACACTCGGCAAAAAAAGTTCCAAATAGTAGTCAATGTCATTTATGCGAAATCTCTACCCAGACACATTCTGATTCGCCTACTTCAATATCATGCCGTCTTTTAGCAAATATATCGTTTATTATATATACTTCTACTCTACTACCGATTCTATCATGTCTACAATGATAGAAAGTCTTTTGAAACCAGGTAGTGCTATATCGCTATCAATTTTTGTTTCGTTTAGCCAAGTTTTGGTAAATGTTAGAATACTAAAACTATATAATTTAGTGAAGAGAATGTCAAGCATAGGGAAAAACCTCTTTATATTTTCTTTTAGACAATTGAAATTGCTGGAAAGTTTAAAATAACCTCGTGACTTGAATTTTTTTTTAAACTCATTGTAGAAATTGTACATCGTTTGCCATCTATAAAAAGATGTTTTCTGATCAATATAATTATTACTATAAACTACCACAACTTATAAAACAATCCTACAGAGTGAAATAATTGTAATCATTATTCTTAAATTAAACATTATGAATTAAAAAATGTGTAATTCATTTTACTATTCTTATAAAATAAAGCTTACTGTTACCACTTGTGACAATGACTCTTGAAAGTCTTGTTCTGATCCCGTCAAGTTTACCTCTTCACCTTGGACATCTTCATCGCACATTGGACATCTATGTAACCCTCTTTTAATGCATTGCTCGCATGCAAAGTGATTGCATTTTAATCGAACGCACTAAAATGAAAGGAAAAGAAGAAAGTCATGCATTTGTTACATTAATGATAACAATATTATAAACAAGTTTAAATGAAAAGTTCGAAAAAAATCTACACAACGAACAAAGAGTGAGAACAAGAAGTCTCTTCGCTAACCTCCTTTTTTCTGGACTTCATGTATATCTGGACCCCAGTGTCGGTTAAGGTTAAGGAGATACCTGGCCTACAGTATCTGTGATGCTAAACATATATTCCAAGGCATTGTTTGTGTAAAATGTAAAACTTTGATATGACTACATAGATTGTATCAATTTACTAACGACATATACATGATGTACTCTCTAATTCTATACTGTTGGCCATATTCATCAACCTTGTTGATCAATTGGACCTATAATCTTTGGTTGTCTTTACATTAACCTTTGGTGTTACGTTATAATTCTTATAAGATGTGCGGATGAAAAACAAAATCTTCCTCTATCTTAAGGATGTGAGGAAAAATCTCCTTCCCTCGGTGGGATTAATTTGGTTGTCTAACCGAAGCTCTGCCGGGAGTAAGACAACCATATAATCACCCTGAGGGAAGGAGAAATCTCTGTTACAGGTTTGCGGTAAGGAATGATAATTTTTCTTCCTTCATTCCAATACTATGTTTAAAAATAATAGTTCTCAGTATTTTTAATATGTGTGTTATCCTGATTTGCACATGACCCGTACGGTCCGTTCTGACCTTGAACAGATATTGGGGGGAAAACGTTCGATTGGACACAAGACATAAGATATGCCAACAAAATTTTGTTTCTCCAAAAACCGCGATGTCCATGGTCTTATTAACATATATGACCGTTGGTGACACATTTGTTGACGTTTGTATAACTTTAGTTTGGTATGAAAGATGCGAATGAAAGGTAGTGTACCCTTATCGAAAATAGTAATGAATATATTATTATTCTATAACAACAATGTCGAAAACAGCATAAAAATTGGGTCGTAATGCCGAGATATTGACCTGAAAAGTTTACACTTTTCACCTGTATGTCCTTCCACAACTATTTAGGATTATCGGACCTTCCGGTGAATGGGACTCAAGTTCAACGGCTGTGGCAGCCACTATGGAAAGAACATGCGATAACGAGATTTTAGTTGGAAAGTCAGTTTGAAATCAATCCCTTTAAACCTCAGTCACATTTGCACCTGGGAATCGTAAGGTCGCCGGGATATTATCCGCCACTATCGGCCGATTTTTGACGCATCACGGGTCGCTTAAAGCTTTTAGCGTGGAGATAAAAGTTGCCGGTGCCCCTGATTTTTTTCTGACCGAAACTCGTCGGAACCTTCCCGGCAGTCTCTCGTAAGTGTCCAGCAAGGATTTCGTAAGATTATCTTTCGGCTCGAACGATTATCTTGGGATTCTGTACAATTCCACATGCTCCCAGGCGTCCTGTAGACCGCCCGCTGTCCGGACGGGTACTCGTAAGGTAACATAATACAGACTAACATTTACACAGTTAATTTGATGCAACACTTATATGCAGTGCTTAATTTTATTTATCTCGAGAATATAATAGAATTATGATTTTTTTTTCTCCCTATAACATACACAAGTCATAACATCTTGGTTCAATAATGAAAATCATCACGATCCACTCCATTAGCCTACTTAGGTGTGTAAAGGTAACGTACACTAAACACACCTGTGATAGTGCTAACAGCAGCAAGTCAAAACACACCTTTGTCCAGGTAAGACATCAAAGGGATGTCAGTAGGTGGACAGGTGCTAGTGCTAGTGCAAGTTACCTGATGTAAGTACGTAGGTTACTTGTCTTCCAATTTTCCATTTAACAACAATGTCCTCAGGTTATTTAACGGGGAATTAAATAAGGATCAAATTCTAGAACAATTGTTAATAAGATATGTTAGCACTGTTACAGATAGAGACGTGTTTATATGCAAACCACAATCATTACAGATGCATCACCGGAGAGAGACAGCCATATGCTGGACTACATTTTGCACACTTTATATCTGATCAGGTGGTTCAATGATGAATTACTCGTGTTTGTGAAACTTGAACACGAGTTAAACGGACAGGTTACTCTTCTGCAAAATTCTTGAATTTTGTATGTAGATGTGTATTTGTTTACTTCCTAAATTCACTGGATTGCATAAAAAAAATGTAAACATTGATATCATTCCCTCCCATTACCACTATATTAAATGAATCGAGACAAGACAACTTATGTCATAGATATTACATACTTATTCACAATGTACTCATTTTCATTACTGGGGATAAACGTACACGAGATGCTGCTCATTTTGGGCATATACTATTAAACCGATGCATTTATTTGACAATTGCAATAGTATATCGTCAGCCATAAGGACATGAGGATTCTCAGGTCCCTGTGTCTCTATCTTGTAGATATGTGAGTGGAGTGCGCTTACGTTTCACTCAATTTTCAATCAATATGTTTTGCTTTGATCATATTTTCTAGGGATCAATTGAATAAATAAAAGTATAACATTTACAGTACTCGAATAAAGAATTGTATATACATAAATGTATATGTACACGAATGTAAGGATAGCCCTTCGGACACATCGTTAGCCTCCTCGATAGGAACACAGTGTATCATTTAGAATATCGCTGTTTATATGCATGTAGCACTTTCTTTATACATATAAATATTAAATACACCAGTGAGTAACATAACAATAACATTAATTCGAGGTTCTTATATACCGCTTTATCACAACCTAGTTTGTAGGTTCCCAAATTTTTATCCGTGCTTATAGGGCCTTTGCAACCAGCCAATACCTTTCTCAACTCCCTGGGGAGCATACAGTCGGAGCTGCCATTTCGGCGCTAACAGCTAGCATTCAAAGATTCTAGCACTGCCAACCACGTAATCATTTACAAAAGATAAAGTATCTTGCTCAAAGATACAACACAGTGCCGTGCCGTGACTCGAACACACAACCCTTCGGTCACGAGCCCGGCGTCCTACTACTAGACTATCGTACCTCCAGTTACAATGGAATATATCATTTAAATAACTGAAGAGTTCACATATCAAACACACGATCAAAGTTTCCCTTTTTTTCCCAATAAGGCAGTGTTGACTGCGTTGAACTTGTGACGTCACAGATGTGGGCAAGACTCGCCGCTGTGGCAAAGGTGTGTTTTTCAGAAAAATCGTATTATTTCGGAAACGGAGGCCCTTACCACGATCGCATTTTTTAAACCGTTTATTGTATTAAATCAAGTATTTTCTTAGCGTTAGAGTTTGGAGGACTGATTGTGTAACTCCATTTCCAATTATTTTTATTATCTCACTTCCCGCATTGCGCCTCTATTTTGTAGGACCATGTTTAAGACCTGCTGGTAACTTTTAAATGGCATTTCACTCGCGGTTTAAAGTCAGTTTGCATTCAAAGATTACCTATGCGGCCTTTTATTAGCTAATTTATTTGAGGTTATACTTTTTGTTTTATATAACGGGAACATTGAAATGGTCGCCATTACAATTAGTACTGGTAAAAGATAGCGTGTCAACAGGTATGACTTTTCTTCACAAATGAAATTTCATAAAAATAAATATAATATGCAGGATGAACTTTGTATAACAAATTGCTCATATGCAGTGTATATACCAAGCAAAGAATATTGGTGTAATTTCAACTTACGTTTCCGACAATATGTTTTCTACACTCGACACATCCAAGTCGTCTTAAATACCTTCCGTTTTCCCTTGCCATCTAGTAAAATATAATTCAGGTATTTGAAAGTTGCAAAAGGTACGTTAAAAAATTAATCATCATGAACCAGAAAAATAACAAGTTTATTATTTCAAGTAGTTTTGTTACTAACATTAACAGATCATAACATAATTATAATATATGGAAGGAATATGTGAATAACTAAAATGTTATGGATACATTACGATAAGGCATGGTATCAGTATTATTATGAAATCTTAATTAAATAGTAGTTACCGTATGTACACGTTTGATTGTAAACAGATGATTCTTGTCATGAATATCACAGTTAATCCACCATTGTTGTTTTGCTCCGGTATCTGTATCAATCAGCTTCACGTATAGGTTTTTTTTATAGCAAGTAAGGCAGATTTTGTGTTCACAGGGCAAAGCGTACTTGGGCTAAAATCAACATTAGAACATATATCGACGGATATCCATTTCAGTATCATAATATCATTACTTATAGAATACAATCATATATCGTCGCCAATACACTTGGTAAAGGCATTTGCTGGTTCAAAACACAAGAAAATACCGAGATGTCAACAAAACGATAAAAGGAAAGATTTACACGGAGAACCAAGAAAATGTACAAGGAGACTAAGGCTACAGATGAGACAAAGGACACAACCCAGGAAACAAACAAAGACAAGATTGCAAACAATGCAATTTAATCAAAGCAAGAAGTACAGAAACAGGACTAAACACGACAGTCAAACACACTGGAAGAGTAATTAAAGACTCCAGTGCATGAGAGAGGAAGAAAGGGAAGAAAGAGGGGGGGGTTCAAGAGAATGAAAGCGCAAGAGCGATTAAAGAAAAAGAAAGCGCAAAGTGATGAAAATGCCAAATAAGTGTCATATTCTCTGTTTTAATACCCAAGGATTAAAAGATAAAGGTAAAAGACTAAGAGTATAATTATGAATGGCTAAAAAAAAATAAAAAAATCCATAAAGCATTATTGCAAGGAACGCATCTTTCAGAAGAAGTAATACAGGAAGTAAATACAGAAATTAATACTTTTGGTAAAGGATTTCATTGTTTCGGAAATTACAGAAGTCGAGGCGTGACAATTATTATTTAAATCATCTTTAGTAAATAACGTTGTAAATAGTAAAACTCTAATTGATGGACGTTGTGTAAAGATCAATTTAGAAGTAAATAAAAAAATATTTACTCTTTTAAATATGTATGCACCAAAAATTGAAACACAAAGAAACATTGTTTAAACAAGATTAACAAAGAAATTGAAGACTTTAAACAAGGGTTTATAATAGTAGGTGGAGACTTTAACGAAGTACAAAATATAAAAGATAAAAAGACATTTTCAGTTAGGCTAAAAATAAACAATACGTATGGTCTTAAACATTTAAAGAAATGCTATAAATTGCTGGACATATAGAGATTAAAAATAGAAACAAACATCAATTTACATGGAGAAGAAACAGACATGGCAAATGTAGTGGAATTGACTACTTCTAAATAAAGGAAGATTTTCACAATTTAGTAAAGACTTAGGATATTAGACCAGCTCAAATTAAATAAACAGACCATTTGTCGATATCACTAAACCTCTAAATAGGTCATATACAAGACAAAGGCCCTGGTTTATGGAAAATCAATAATAGTATCCTAAAAACCTCATAAATAAAGAGAGAAAAGATAGTATTAATGAATGTAAAAATATGCATCTGAATAAAAGGCAAACCTGGGACTATTGTAAATTAAATATATATTCAGAAACAATAAAATTCTGTAAGGATAAGTCGAAATCTGTAAAATATCATATACAAAATCGTGAAAACAGACTTTCTGAACTATTGGACAAAGAAAATATTGCAACAGAAGAAGAAATTTAGGTAAATAACATTAAAAGGGATGTAGAATAACATTATCGGGACAATGCTAGAGGGGCACAAATACGTTCAAGAATAAGGTGGGTAGAAGAGGGCGAAAAAATAATGAAGTTTTTCTTAGGATTAAAAAACAAAGACAACTAAAGAATATATTGAAGAGAATAAAAAATGCAGATAGGGTTGTTGTAGAGGAAACAGGTGAAGTTTTTAAAACTATTAAACATTCTTATGATAAACTATATACGTCATATACTTCAGATAGGCAAAAAATGCCTACACTATTATTGAATGACAGTTCAAAATGTGACGGGGAACTAACATTAGAAGAGTGCAGAAATGCTATTTTTTGAATGATGTTAAACAAAAGTCAAGGAATTGATGGGTTATCAGTTGAATTTGAAAGAGAATTTTGGGATTCGGTTGGAAACGTAGTAACAGAATCTTTAAATGAAACATACAAGCATGGGTAACTAAGTGAAACACCTCATTTAGGCCTAGTTACCTTGATTCATAAAAAGAATAGTTTTGAAAATTGGTTATTATTTAGCAGCATATGTAAATTTAATTTGGATTCGTGTATACTTTTCTTAGATTTTGCATAAGCTTTCGACTTTTAGAATGGAATTTCAAGTTGTATAAGTTTAAAATCTTTTGGTTTGGAAATTCATATATTCAATGGGTTAAAACGTTTTACACAGACATACGAGGTTGTTTTAAAAAAAATTAACTGGGTTACAGAAGAATATGGTATCACAAGAGGCATACGACAAGGATACCCTCTGTCCTGTCTCTTACTTGTAATTGCCTAGGAAGTTATGGCGATATATATTAGGCAGTCACGCATACAAGGATTTACGATTTACAGACACCACAGGATACAATTAGCACAGTTAGCTGATGATACAACATTGTGTTTGAAATATAATGATGTCAAAACTGCTTTAAAAATCATTGAACATTTTGAGATGTTTCGGATCTTAAATTGAACAGACGGAAAACAGAATGAATACGGTTTAGACAAAATAGGAATAGAGGAAATAGCTTGGAAGGAATAAATTAGAAAAGAAACTTATGTAAAATTCCTAGGTATGCATTATGGTACCAATAGAAAAGTATGTAATAATTCAAACTAGAAGAGTACAAAAGTAACAATTGATGATATGTTAAAAAAATGGGAAAAAAAGAAAATTACCAGTCATTGGGAGAACGGTCGTCATACAAACGCTAGTAATAACAATAATTATGTTTTTAGCCAGCACTCAGTCAATTGGAGATGAACAAATTAAAGAAATAGGAAGTAGATATTATTTTATTTGGGAAGATAAAAAGGAGAAGGTTAAAAGAAATGTAATGATTTGAAGCAAAATCGAAGGTGAATTAAAAGTTCGAGACCTGAAATCTCATATAAAATGATTCGAATAAGTTCGATGAAAAGACGAAGAAAATTCGGCGAAGAAAATTTGAAAGCTATTCCTAAAATAATTTTCTGATATTTGAAATGAGAAAATTGGAAATCTAAAATCTATAAAAAATATCAGGATCATTTACCTATTTTTTATTAATTAATAAAAGCGTGGGTAAAGATAAGGGG